TGTACAATCATACCATCACCAATGCAGGCATGGTGCAGGGATCTGCAAGGTTTGGTTGACTCAAGTATATCTTCAACCTTAAATAAGTAGAAAAGCAACTCCTTATCATGTATCAGGCGTAGCTAGTTACTAAGTAACTTTCTTCCAAACATCATAAGTTATGTAGATTTAGTAAGCTATGTTCTGTGCTATTCCTGGTTGTCTCCTGAGATATTGCATATTATATCTTAATATCCTCTACGCCCACCTCATTTTTTAATATGGGCTTTATTTAGGTCCTGGTCGAGGGTGAACAAAAGGGTGAGGTCTCCAGGAGGGTACCCCTTGGAAGTCCCTAGAACTTGTATCGTGTTGCTATAATATAATGTACTTGGGCAGTATAGTTCAAGTTACAGTATCAAATCATGTTTATAGAAGCTGTATAGGGAGTGTTCTACTACTAGAGAAGTTGAAGTTCATTTCTCGGTCTCAACATCAACACCAGCAGGCTTTTCGTTGAGGGGTAAGAGTGCCATAGAAGGAAGGACAACTTTCTTACAGGTTACTCGCCACTGCGGATCCAATAATCCCAGGCAATATGCTGCGTGGCAAGCCCTGCCCCCCATTGATATGATGCTTGCACCTATGCGAGTAGTCACGCTGATGCAGAGGCCCGATAATTTTCCAAAGAATACTCAAGAATTGAAGGCTGTAAGCATGGTCATAATGTACCCAAGAATAGAATTCAGTGTCATTGCTCAAACCAGTCATTGAAGCTGACTTATCATTCGCCCCTTGAGGAGCACAGCTCAAATGTACAGATTCCGTGAGTTGAAACTATCTGCGTATCCCTACGGAAAAGGCATGTTTTCATACAATTATTAAAATATTAAATTGTGATCTCAACAAGTCCTCGATGGTCTAACGGTCATGATTTCCGCTTGTCATCTCATACGAGAACAAGCGCGGGAGACCTGGGTTCGACTCCCAGTCGGGGAGATTTTTTTGGTCTTTCCTTAGGTTCCGCAAGTGGATCTGAGGCTATTCCTTACTTCCGTCATGTTTTTTACCCTTCCTTCTTCTTTTTTTTTTTTTTTTTTTTTTTTTTTTTTTTTTATTTTTTTTTTTTTTTGATTTTTTTTTTTTTTTTTTTTTTTTTTTTTTTTTTTTTTTTTTTTTTGTATCAATGCAAATAGGGTCTTCTATGCAAATACTTCTCATAGAACATGTATCCTACATCTTATTTGGGAAGCTGTCTCTTGAAAAGCAATTTTCTCAATGATCAAACTTGGTCATCGGTGCAAATATATAAAAATACTCCTTGCGTTTTTTTGAAGTATAAGTCACTCAAAAAAAAGAAATACAGCACGCTGAGGATTTTCTAGGTCACTACTGTAACTAATAGCCCTAACTTGACTTAGGGACAAGATTACCGGCTCTTCCATGATGATCACTGGTATCTATCACTCATTGACCCACTGATTCAGAGACACATTATTCACTGCCAGATGCGTAATCTGCGACTGGCCCATCATAGTATTCGTTGAAGTATCCATTTGGGATACGATAGGACCCTGACCCTGCCACATTGCTGTGATAAATGACCGGTCTATAGTACAAAACTCACATCCCTGCTACTGATTCTTATTTCAAAAAGATTGCTTGCTCGTATCTTGAAATGAAGCCGAATATCAAAACTCGCCATGCAATATGCTCGAAACTGTTGATTGTGGCCCAACTTTCGGGTCTGGAAGAGGGCGATCCAAAATTTGTCTAACCTTCTCTCTGACAAGAGCCATTTTATTAAGATACAGGTTCGGGCATAGATGCTATGAGAGCGTGACTGAAGTTTCAGTGTTACTACAGTAACGTCTACACCGTTCAGGCTATCTATTCACTTGGCAAGTGAATAGTGCCGCAAAAGGGATTGGTACTACTCTTACCATGGACGCATTCTGACACAAATCGAGAGGGTTGTACTAATCCTTCAACCACCAAGCTACACTCAAATCTCTCACATAACTGTGGTCACCCCAAATCTACGATGGGGCCTTGTTTTATTGAGGCATTAAATTGTTCCCCATGTCCATACATTCCACAACCCAAGGAAGGCATGATTGCTTGTTTTATACATCTTGGACATGACCCAATGTATCTAGATACACCCTGCGTTTCTAGGATCCGATTGCCCTGGAGCAGCGGCCAAGTACTTGTAAGAATATGTAGGGAAAAGGTCCATCCCAGAGCCCTCTATATTCAGCGTTACACGCCTGTATGGGCTCAGTCCACGTCAACAGAGCTAGGTAAAGTAGCTCGTCGGTAGCTCTGTCAATGCCATCTTCTGCCCCGTTTGCTTTCCATACTCGAGGAACCCTGCAGTAAGCACAAGCACCGGATCGGGAGAATATCGCCGCTTGCAACACACTTGGTAAGTGCGGTTGCGACGCTACGCAGGCTGGAAATGCGGCCAAAGTCCGAGAATAGTAACGTAGGAGAAGATTGCAACAGGGGGTTACCTTTAGTGCAAGTATGGCATGGTGTATACGGTGTAACTATGTAGTAAGAAGTAATATGTACATTCTTGAGTGTCGAAAGTATGCGATCTAGGCCTGGATGACTAAGATCGGTAACGGTACTGGTAAATTACCGTATAGGCTCGTGATCCAGGTAATGTCGTCACTCGTGTGGTGCGACTCCCAAGTTGCTTGTCACTCTTTCATTCCATGGTCCACCATCAAGGCTGTTAGCTAAACGGTCGCTCTTGGAGAGAGCGATAGGCGATTCCGGCAGCCATGGAGACTGCACCGCTTACCTTGGTATGTCATCAACCAACACTGGGAGCTTTGTGCGTCGTATACCCAGCCTGACAGAATCTCCCCGCTCAAGGCTCATACCCATGCACGGAATGCAGTTCTGGAGACCCGCAAGTCAAACCCAGTTGCTGCGAGCGAGGAACATGATCTGGCCGCGGGCGAGTTTGCTGCAGCGGCCCAAAAAAGCTCAGATCGTGAAGTATACTCATCCGCTATTCCCCAAGGGTTTGCCAGACGCTCACATGTACATATCACACAGGCCCTAAGGACGCTACAGCTTCTCGAGCAACACCATAAAAAGCTCGCCCAGATCTTGCGATTCCAGCATGAGAACCCAGCCGCCGCTGTCTCGAGTATACAACAAGTGACTATAGAATCGGGGGGAGCGAAGACAGATACGCAACAACACCCACCTAAACTACTAGGACACGCTCGCCTACCGGCAAGGGAGACTTCGTCAATCGCTAGCAATTTAGCCTCGGCTCGAGGTATTCCGTCGCAGCCACGCCATGGTTCCCCGGTGTCACCTACAGTTTCCTCACAGCAGGCAGGGGCGAAGATGACGGAGGGACCGGCAAAGATCAGGACCGGTGAGGCCAGACTACGAGAAAGACAGGCCTATGCGACTAAGGAACGCCCCAACCGGACGCCATCTAAGCAGTCATGGAACCCACCTGCAGCCAGCCCTACCGACATTACCTCGCAACAGTTTGTACCTCCGGATGTTGAATCATCCCATCACAAGGACAGACAAGCCACGTCCGACGAGCCATTCCAACGGTTCTATTCCACCTTTGAAGGCCTTATTTCCAAGCTGTCCGCACCCTTGGCTTTCGCAGGCCTCCCTTTGGGTTCAGACGCGTCAGAAAAGGCTGAATCTATCCGCAAAACGTCGGCAGATACGAAGGTGGATCGTCAACCTGCAGTGTCCGATCGCCAGGGCCAACCGGGGGACACCGATATCAACAAAATATTTTCACGCGCTGCATTACGAGCTGTCCGAGATTCAACGGGCGGGGGAACAGGAAGCGCGGCGGAATCGTTCTACGTCGTGCCCACAACAGGTGGAACTGTTTCCTATGCCGGAATCCTGAGCAGGGCTGAGAAGGAAGCTCGAAGAAGTAGTTTCGACGAGGGCGACGAGGACTTCGTGGACGCCCGTGAGACACCGCCATCACCCGAAATGCGTCAGAGCATGACGGGGAGCAAGGGCAGAGGCACTCGTGGCAAAGAAAAGCTTACCAGCATGCAGAGCCCTAAGACCCTAGAGGAACTGCAGATGGAAAACCAAGCTCTGAAACATCTGACTGATACTTTGTCTAAACGTCTGCACATGTGGGAGGTCAACGCGCAATCATCTTCCGTAGCTCTGCAGCAATCCCTGAGGGCAATGCGTCATCAAAATGTTCCATCTCCAGAGCACTACCCTCAGTCTTCTCCTGCCATCGCTTCACCTATCGCTCCCCTCTCCACACCAGCCGCCACGGATCAAGAGCAACGCATCAGAGAGCTCGAGGAGCTAATCCAGCAGAGCGAGAAAGAACTCGACAAGGTTGGCCGTGAGAACGACAAACTACGAAACGTCCTAGGAAAGTACAGAGATCGGTGGGAGAAGTTGAAGGAGGGTGCAAAAAGTCGGCGAGAGGGCAGGCCAACTGGAGATAGGAACAGCTATGCAGAGCCTAGCACACCGGTCCGGACTGGCAGTACCAGCTCACAGAAAGCGAATGAAACCACGCAAGTGCAAGCCGAGGCAGGAACCGAAAACGATACCAACTCAAGCAATGAACCTGAAAACAAAAACGACTCCTCTAGCTGAGCCTTGATTTTCATGCTTGGTTCCATCGAGTGTAAAGGACGTGTTGAGTTTGCAAGCGTAGGGGTCCTGCACAAAGCATGGGGGATTACTTTCTCTGAGAGATGTACGATACTTCGCATCACGCATATTTCTTCTCTTATATTTGTCCATTCTGCGTTCATGAACTGTTTTCGGGTTTATTATGAAGGAACTGCATGATCAATATCAACTCGATCACTGCAAATCCGGGGAACAAAATGGCATGCAAATACGCATCAGCCTATGAATCACGGTAATTTACGAGTCATGTCCAACAAAAAGTGCCATATCAATGATAACCGAGCAAATAAATGTATAATTCAAAATATCTGTATCCGAATCCACCGTAAACCAACCTCAACACCAACCCTAATCACTGCACATAGAAAGTAGCATTACCCCGAATATCCTCAGAGCTACTGCCCACAAGCACACCAAAAGCCCCCGGCTCCACAACATACTTCATGCGGAGATTCCACAGGCCCAGATCCTGCACCTTCAACGGAATCTCCACAGTCTTACTCTGCCCAGCAGGAATAACCACCTTCTTGAACCCCTTCAGCAACCGATTCGGCACCACCACCGACGCAAGCTCATCAACCACATACACCTGCACGACCTCCGTGCCATCCCTCGCCGCATCCGTATTCCTCACCTCCACACTCACCGTCACCGTATCCGCCGCCGTCACATTCGTCTTATCAAGCGTCACAGCCCCATACTCGAACCCGGAGTAACTCTTCCCATACCCGAACGGATACCACGCCTTGGGGTTGCCAAGCGCATACTGGTGCCCGAACTCCAGCGTTCCGTTCGAATACACGTACCCTGCGTCGCCGATCTCGCGCCCCGAGTTCAGATAGTCATAGTAGATGGGCAGGTCGCCGACGGAGCGCGGGAAGCTGACGGACAGTTTGCCGGAGGGGTTGTAGTCGCCGAAGAGCACGTCGGCGAGGGCATTGCCGCCCTGTTCGGAGGGGTAGAACTGCTGAACGAGCGCCGCCGTGCTGTTCGACAGCCACGGTTCCGTCACCGGCTTGCCGCTCGAGAGGACCACCACGGTGGGCACGCCCGTGTCGACGATCGCTTTGATGAGGGGCACCTGCGCGCCGACGAGGTTGAGACTGTTCACGTCGACGTGTTCGCCGGTTCTGGGACGTGTTTGTTAGTTCGTCGATCCAAGTTGATGGAGGGGGAGAGTGAGGGGAGGGTGGGAGAGGTCTTACGTTGCGTTGAGGCCGGCCCAGAGCTCCTTCTGGTCGCGAGACCAGGTGCCCACGACCACGACCGCTACGTCGGATTTCTGGGCTGCTTCGACTGCCTCGGCGAAGCCGGACTCGTCGTTGCTCCAGCGCTCGCAGCCCTGCGCGTAGTTGATTGTCGCCTTGTCGCCGACGGCGGCCTTGATGCCGTCTAATGGGGTCACGCCGCGGTACTGGCTTTCGTAGACGACGTAGTCTCCGTACTGTGCGTGTGCGTTAGTTAGTATTCTCCCTGGGATATTATGCATGGGCCGCAAGAAGACCAGCAAGGACTCACGTTCATGAACCCATGCGCCATGGGCCCGATAACAGCAATGCTGCCGCTCTTCTTCAAGGGGAGCGCGTTATCATGGTTCTCCAGCAGAACGATCGACTCCCGATCCAGCTCGCGGGCAAGATCAACCGCCTCCTGCGTATGGATGAGCTTGTGCCAGTCAGACGTCGGAGCACCGTTATAGGGGTTCTCAAAGAGACCCATTTCGAACTTCGCCCGGAGCAAACGCGACACGGCCGTGTCGACGATTTTAATATCGAGCTTGCCGGCGTTGACCAGGTCGACGATCGTTTCGAAGTTGCTGTCTCGTGTTAGGCATTCATCAGTTGAACTGATTGGCGGAATGGCACTCACTATGAGCCGCCGCCCATCTCGACGTCGTTTCCGGCTGGCAGCACGGCCAGCGTCACGGCTTCCTTGTCGATGGGGTCGGCGCGGCAGAGCTTGAAGGCTGTGCAGAGTCTGTCGGTTGCGCCGGCGTCGCTGGTCACCCAGTATTTGAAGCCCCATTCTTCGCGCAGGATCTCGGTGAGGGTGTGGTAGTCAGCTACGGCGGGGATGCCGTCGTATCTATATATGGTTAGAAATAAGGTGAACAAAGGTAAAGCACAACTGAAATGTATACTTACGAGTGGTATGCACTCATGATACTCCATGCGCCGGCATCCATAATCGCGCGCTTGAACGATGGCAACCAACTATATCGAATTGGTTAGCCCACTGCTTGGTGGAACTTTAGCCGATTAGAACAGAGTACATACGTAGTGCGCAGATATCTCTCTCCGCCGTGGACGGGTGCAGTGTTCAGGCCCTGTTCGGGCTGGGAGAATCCCACGAAGTGCTTGACGTTGGCGGAGACATTGTGACTTTGGATTCCCTTGGTATAGTGATATCCAATTTCGCCTGCGAGATACGGGTCTTCGCCGTATGTCTCTTCCACCTGTAAACAGCGGTTAGCTCTGTGCTATTACGGGAATGTAGTGCAAAGGCCTACTCTTCCGAATCGCAGTTCACGGGCAAGATCAACCACCGGTCCCATCAGGTGGTTAACTCCAAGGGCTGTGGCCTCCTGACTGATGAGGCGCGCCATCTTTTCGATCAGCTGGAATTGTATTCGTTAGCTTCGCTGGTCTGGGGGTCTGAGTCGGGGAGGGGCTCACCTCCGGGTTGAACGAGCATGCGAATCCGATGGGGGAGTTGTAAATCGTTGCATTGCCGATTAAGAATCCGTGGAGAGCTACGGGATCCAAGGCTGTCAGCGCAGGTTTCAGCGAATCCAACATGACAAGAACATACACTCGGTTTGAACAATGGCCGGAATTCCCAGCGTGGTGTTCTGGAGAATATAGTCCTGAGCTCTCTTGACATTATCTGCGATGAAATCCCACGGCACGGGATATCCAACTGAGAACCATTGTTCGTTAGCTACTGCGATAATAATATGGCGAGGTCAATTGCCTACCGTAGAACATTCCACCTCTCATTTTCGTACTCCATTCCAAACCCGTGAGGTTGAATTCTCCAGTGGTCTCATTCATCCAGTTGGTGATATCGCCTGCAATAATCAATTAGTACGTCCACCATACAGCCGTTGGTAAAAGATGGACAGTGCCAATCGCACCCTGAATCAATTGAGACATCTTCTCCTCAAGCGTCATGCGACCCAGTAAGTCGCTGACGCGCTCCTCCACCGGAGCACTGGGGTCCTTGTAGCGAGGTTTCTCATCTTGACCAAGCGACAGGCCGGACAACAGGCCCAGGAGCAGAAGCCCCTTCGTAAAGACACCGGAAACCATTTTTCTCGACGAAGACGAGCTCCCTTGCGTAATTGTGTCCGTCTCCACGCAGGCCCGACGAGGGGAAACGCGACGACTTTAAATTCCAGGCCATTTTCTCAGCATGGGTTAGCCCGCCGGAGAAATGAAATGAGCTCATGGAGAAAAAGTATTAAACCCCACACAGTCCGAACAGCAGGCCAAGGCGAGCTCTCCACATAGGCCAGCTTTAATTAAGTGGCTCCGGGTCGAATCCATGCGTCGTATAGCTCTCATGATGTCAGGCGCCGATGATTCTCCGGGGGAATCGAGCAAGGTATCACCGGCATCTTGAGTGGATCAAATGGGTCGCGTTGAACAAATAAAGGATGAAGAATGGGAGATTGGGAGACGGGCAACAGGCTTTCGGATAATCACGATGCATGCCGCCAGCAACTATCAGTCCGGCTAAAGCGCACGGAAGATAAATTAAGGAATGATCCACGAATGGCCTGAGGATGCTTGTCTCCGCAATTTAATGAAGGCGAGCGTTGGGGAGTCTTGGCTGCCGATTTCCTTTCGCACGGCTTTCCGGCTAAAATGCATGCATGATCCCTGTTTGGTCCAACTTTGGAGGAATCCTTTCTGGGTTCAGAATATGGTGATAGTCAACCATCCCTGGAAGTTTGAGGTTATGCTTCAACGGCTTGTCAATCAGGGTGCTAGGTTAAATATCCGTGGGTAGTATATGAACTACTCGTGGTCCACTTATACTGGAAATGCTTGTCTGTATCCACTTCTCCATCGTGAACAGACACTAAAACCACTAGATCCGGTCTCGAATAACAGAAAGTGGACAAGTGCACCATACTCGTGATCCTCAATTTCATTAACATCGTCTACCATAGATACCTATTCTAATGCAGTCATGCCGTTTCCCTTCGCCAGATCTTCATCGGCATCTCACCCATGATCAGGTTGAACGCCTCGAACCGACCGAGCTTCCAATTAGCCGGCAGCGCAAAGTCGTACCGATGCACCAGTGTCGCAAGTACTACAGTCTGCTCAAGATACGTGATATTCCGGCCGAGACACCCCCGGGCCCCCGTTGAGAACGGGACAAAGTACGGCTCCATGCGCCTCCGGTTGTCCAAGTCCATCCATCGGTCCGGGTTGTATTCCTCGGGATCAGGGAAGATTTCAGGATCTCGATGAGCCGAATAACTCGTCATCGACACGCTGGTGTCACCCGGGATCCATTCGTTCAAGATCTGAGCCCCTTCCGGCGGGGTCCGTCGGGGCAGTCCAGCTGATGTAGGGGGGATCAGGCGCAATGCTTCGTCCAAACAAGCGCGTAGGAACGGAAGGTTCTTCACCTTATCGTATGGTGCGACCACTTCATCTTCGTCCAGGGCGCTGTCCACCTCTTCCCGCAATCTACGCAGGTACTTCGGATGTCTGATCAACATATCCAAGACTTGCGTTAGGGCAATCGCCGTGGTGTCGGCCCCGGCGTTGATGATCGCGCCTACTTCGGCGACGATCTCGCCCCACTCGAGGTTATTGGGGTGGCCTGCCTTATCGTCCATGAGCGAGGAGAAGAAATCATCCAGTTTCTCCCCGCTCTGGTACCGCTGTAGCCGAGTAACTGCTTGGTGGTAGATCACGTCGCCCCACGGCTCCCCATCTTTCCACATCTGACGGTACTTGGGAACCAGCTTTGATAACCTAGAAAGCCAATGGAAGTACTTATAATCCCAAACGAAGAGTGACTGCGCGTGTGCGGTGCTATCCTGAGACTTGCGATACCGAGCCGGGTATGTTGTCCCATCCTTTCTCTGGGCGGTAACCTCATCGGATCCCTTCTCCAGCAGTCCGAGGGTGGACGAAAGGGCGATGAGGTTGATCGCCTCGATCGTGAACAGGTTGATCCACTTATTGTAGTCCAACGTGAGATCTGCCGCTTGGGGTTCTGTCTGGCCTGGAAGCAACGGGAGTGTACAGTGCGCGTCCAACGCCTTGACAAGACGGCCGGTAACGTTGGCCACCTTGTGCTCCCATCTCTCCAGGTTCTTGATGGCGAAAGCGGAAGACATTCGCTTCCGCTTCTCGGCATGGTCCGCTTTGTCGATGACGTCGAAGAGGTGTGTATGAGAGCCCCATGTCATGGCATATTTGATGTCTTTGACGCACGGTGTGTTGTGGCCGTACATATCCTTGACCGCACCGATACGGCCGAAGGAGAGGGAGTTGGGCCCAATGCGTAATATTGGTGCATTTTTGTGCGCTTCGTGTAGGTCTTTGGAACGATATCCACACGAGCTTAGGTAGCAGTAAGGAAGGTCGGTGATACCCGCTAAGGGGGCGAAGTTTGGGTATTTGCGAAACCCTTTAGGGTCGTAGAAGTAGTATACGATCGGAAGAACGAACACGTACCCTGCCCCCAGGACAAGAGCACCAGCAGCAGCCAAAACATAGATTCCCGGCATTTTGAAGACGATTCTTCGGAGCCTGCGAGCTGAGAGTTAGTGCACAAGTCCCGCTCACTTCCTCAGTCTATATATACCATTTCAGAATATCGGTATATGAATCTCATTTCCCGACCGTGACCTCATCCTGAACAAGTAAGACTGCAGAGAGTAAGGTCCAAGCTTCCCGAAAAGGCTATTGAGGGTCTCGCCGTTCGCCCATGCAGAAAGATTTACCAGATAGACTCAACCGCGATGTTGATCTCATGCAGACGAAGCCGATTGAACGGGGAAGCCCTAACCACCCCAATGGGGAAATGCTTCCTTTTCCAGAAGTGGGAGGTCAGCCTTGTCAGTCTCTGATTTGCCCAAAAGCATTTGGCCGGCAACCAAGCGGGGAAATTTTACCCCAAGTTTCCCCACAGTTTTGCCCCCGCAACGCATGTTCAACCACCATGTCCCTGACCATGTGGTTATCGCCAGCCCTCAACCAGATATAGGAAATGAGCAGTTCTGGAAAGCACAGGCCGGCTGCGTGTAGGAGATGCAAAGGTCAGTACTACCATCCGTAAAGGGTAGCATTCCACGCCGCTAACATCAGAGCATCCAGATCGGCATTTGCGATGTGAGTCTTTTAGCCAGGGTACTCGTGCGAACAGGTCACCCTATGGTACTGACTGCTGCCAATAGGCGACGGAGGCAACCCCTGTAAAAACTGCAGACAGGCCAGCTCAAAGTGTGACCGTAGCGCCAAGAGCTTCAAATTTCGACACGAGCCAATACCGAAGCGCAGGTTCCATTTCTCGTCGGATCAGAAATGGGTTGGCCTGCCTCGGAAAGGTAATTCATCCCGCCCGTTGCACTTACATTGGGAAACATAGGCCTACTGTTCGCGATTCTGACTAGACGAAGGTCGACTCCACTACGTCCATGTGAATCCGGACGGTCGTCAGGAAAGCGACGACGACGACGAAGATGATGACGCCGAAGAGAGCCAGCCTGATGCCGCCGGCTCTAATACTTCTCCATCACCCAGCTCCATGATATGGAGAAAGGGCCAGAAACCACATTCACTTCCAGCATCTACCTCCGTGAACACTAGCCATGACCGCCATGAAGAAGGACTTGGGCAGAGCCATCGAGACTCGAGACACTATAGCGTTTCCAGTTTCAATGCAGTCGCGGGCTCCAATGAAACTTCTCCACAGTCAGCGTCTTACTATGCCCACACTTCTGCATATGACTGCTTGTCTCAACCTTCCGACCAACCCCTGAATGCTTTCCCGACACAGCGAGACCATTACCGTCTGGGGCCTTTGAAAGGCGTTCCCCAAACCTTCTCGGACGCCTCCTACACCAGTGACCTGCAGGAAGCATGCTTGATACGCTACTTTGTGGAGAGACTAGCTCACTGGGTACCTCTCCTTTCCATTCCATCACAATCAAAATGACACATGATCATCCACAGTAAACGAGAGAAAACAGCTAACCACCCACAGTTCGACTCAACGGACCGGGACCGACATTTCGCCCTGACAGTCCCCGGCCGAGCCATGTTCTGCCCAGTACTTCGATACGCCCTCTTGACAGCATCCGCCGGCCACATGCGACAAGCCCTAAAATGCCGCAACAACAGCAACGGCACCGTCATCTTCGACGGCATCCCGTTGCCAGGTCTCAGCGAAGACTCAGCGATCCGGTACCACAACATCTGCATCTCCTACCTGATCGAGATCTCCAAAGACCCCAACGAAGACTACAACGAAGACGTGCTAACCGCAGCGACGATCCTGCGCTTCTACGAGCAACTAGACGGTACACTCCCCCTCCCCTTCCCCGTAGTATAGTATCGTGTCCCACACACACACACACACACACACACACACACACACACACACAAACTGAACCCAAAGATCACAGCCCCCTCAATCGGCACCGACACCGAAGCGTACCTGAAAGCGGTGCAGTTCATCGTACACACGCAAAACAACGACTCGTTCTACGCGGCGCAAACCATCCACGGCCCAACACACGACACCAACATCCACTCGTCGCCGGCGATCTCGCTGCGCCACGCAGCCTGCCTGATCGCGCTGCGACAAGAGATCTGGAGCGCATTCCTGCACCAACGGCCCGTGCGGCTGCCCATCTCCCCGCAGAACGACTACGACGCCTTCCCGACCACCTGCGACTTCATCTGGGCCAACCGCATCCTCGTCTGGTGCGCCGACCTCCTCAACTTCACCTTCGACAGCCACACCAACACCAAGTACCCGACGCAGGCATCGCGTCTCGCGAAATGGAACTCCCTGAAAGCCTTCGAGACACACTGGAACACCCACAAGCCCCTCTCCTACAAACCGGTCTACTATGCTGCCCCTGAGCCGGAGAAGGCGTCTTATTTCCCGACTATCTGGCTCATGAATGATAGCCAGGTGGTGGCTGAGCAGCATATGGAGCTGGGCCGGATTCTGCTCGCTGTGTCGAATCCCGGGATGCAGCGGCTGGGGGCCGGGGCTGGGGCGCTGAACCGGGGCCTGGAGGCGGAGTTGAGGGCTATTACGAGGAGGGTTATTGGGTTGGGGTTGGGGAATCGGGCGGGACCCCCGGCGTTGGTGACGAGTGCGGTTGGGATCTCGATTTGTGGGGAGTATTTTGATGATCCTGGGGAGAGGGAGGCGTTGGTGAGGTTTTTGGTGGACTTGGAGTTTGAGTATGCGTGGCCTACTAGTGCGATAGTGGCGGCGTTGAGAAGTGCTTGGGCGGCGTAGGCGTTGTTTTGATAAATGGCATTTTAATAGATATATAGAGGTGTCTTGGGCGCTTTTGCATATGTGGGAGCGGTACGAGTAATGTTCGACTAGTAGATACCTATAGTATGCATCATGCTATGATATTATACTGCTAATAAGTATGGACTCTAACGCTTGTATTAAATACTATAACCGACAAAACGCCAACAAATTATTGGCTGGTAGACTCAAGCCTACCCAAGAAGCCTCGCAACGCAGATGCAATATGTACGAACAATGCCAGTGAGCCAGCCACCCAGAAGAGAGTGTTTTTACGCCTGCGTATTTGCGCCTATTTCCTCCTCGTTATTCTGTGACTCGGCAATCTGCTCATGCTCGTTGCCGTGGCCATGCACTTTGCGCAAAGTGCCACCCAGCCATGCTAGACCTCCACTCCAAGAATCACTTAGGCTTCGAATCCGAGATACAGAAGTAGAGCTATCGGGCTGCAGGCTTTGTAGAGCATTCTCTGTATCCAAGGTAGTGGTTGATTGCCCGGCAGTAACAGGAGCAGTGGCAATATCGCCGGTAGAGTTAAACCTCGCAGCCGGCAGCGCAGCACGGGGGTCCAGGCCCTCTTCGACATTGGCGCTTTCACCGTCACGGCTGCGAAGGAAGCCATCTACAACGGTGGTACTGAGTTGCTTGCCCCGATGCCTCCGCACGAACTTGCGATCTTTTACCGGACTCGTTTCACCACGGCGCAGGGATTCTGCTACCACTGCACTGAACCCGGCAGAAATAGTCGGAAGCAGCGGGCCCGGCGAGAAGCGTGACGATATCGAATTCCGTAGTCGGCGTGCCGGTGGCGTCTGTGGAACAGTGTTGTTTCGGGACCCTGGCGGTGCGGTTTCCGTTCCCGAAGGGGCTGGAACTTTGAGGCTACTGTCTTCGATGCCAGGCGCAGGTGGGAAACGAAGAAGAACCGGCGAGCCAGATGTTGTCGGCCTCGACTGTTCAGGAGTGGCCGGACGGTCAATTTGGGGGATTTGGGGTTCAGACTTGGGGGTTTCAATGGCCGACTCATGAACATCAGCCCAAGGATTGTTTAAGAGAGAGTTAGGGTGCATGGGGGGAGAAGGCTCCGGGGACTGCTCGGTGAGAGAATCGGCAGTCAAGGAACCGACAGGAGAAGATGCAGCAGCAGACGGAACGCCCCGGGGCGTACGCTGGCCCTCGCCAGCACCCTCAACCCCGTGACTGAGGAGCGACCGAGATGGGGACCGCAGGTGCTCTCTCCGGGTTTCCAAAGGCCTCCGTGAAGGTTTCTGCACTCTTATATGGCGCGCAGGTGACATGTCGACGCTGTCACGATACCTCTCTCCCGCCAGCAGTCCAATAGCTTCCTCTTCGTCATCGGCGGAATATGAAGACTCGTTGTCGCTGCGGACCCTGCCACTGGTGATGAAATAGACGCCTAGAAAGGTGAGGAGACAGCCGCCCACGAACTTTCCAGCGCGATCGAGGGTGTAACTCTCGAAATCCCGATACAACACGGCGCTTCCGATGATCACAGAAAGTGTGAAAAGCACAAACTGGGTTGGGATCACCTGGGTGGAATCAAAACGCTGGAGAGCACGGTTGATGTAGCGAATCTGTAATATTGCACTAGAAACCAGGACAAAAACCAGGAGGTACGTGATGGGGAATGTTATCGCATGCCATAGGGTGAAAGACAATAATGACGAAACGCCCTTTGTTGATAGAGCAGTATATCCACCTAGACACGAGAATAAGCAGTCGTCCAAACAAGTACAAACGGATGGAAGCTTGTTACGTTAACATACCAAAAAGTGCCACAAGCCCAACGTCAATCAAGACTGTCCGGGACCCGTACTTTCCACTGGCCCATAAGAGCCCAATGATCAATACGGCGGAGATGCCTACATACGTTTCAAACTCCCAGCGGGTAATCATCACCCAGATATCATGCGGTCCGATCTTCTCCTCGGAGGAACTGGCGCTGAGAACGACCACCACTGCTCCGGTGACCGCCACGACCACGCCCCAGAAGTCGCGCCCACGGAATTTCTCCTTCAGCATAATCGGGGCAATGACGCAATTTGATATCAAGGCTACGACGCCCAATGGGGAAACAATCGACGCTGGAGCAAAACCATATGCCATGAAGTTCCCAATCTCGCCGACGCACATCAACACGATTCCGACCCACCAGTACGGGGAGCGAAGGTATGACTTCCGGCGCAGATCCTCCGGTCGCACAGTTCGATCCGACATAAACGATTCGTTCATTTCATTCTGATGCGCATCCGTGTCCATGTCGTCATCGTCCTCGGGCCCAAGATCAATATGGGGCTGATCATGATGGGCAAACCTCACCTCTGGGGACTCGTCCCTATAACGACCAAAGCTGCGGGGCTGGTTTCTACCCCGTGTTTCGTAGTCGCTGTATTCATGCCCCGCAACCGAACCATAATGGTCTGCTGGGCCCCGGCCCGGATTTGCGCGTTTCCATTCGGCCTCCTTTTGCAGTTTTTGATGCTCCCATTCTCGCTCGATCCTGATGTGCGCGTAGCGCTGAATGTTTAGGGCCAAGGAAATCAGGACGTTGCCAATTAGCGCAGTCACGATGCCGATGAGAGAAGACCATTCATGCATTCCTCCCCCACCTCCACCGTCATCATATCCGGGATCTGAAGCTAACGTGGGAGATGGCTGGGAAGAAAGGGAAACATATGACGGCGAGAAGGTCGACGTGGGAACGGCGGAAGAAACGAAGGTCGTGAACAGACCCGCTGCTAGAGGCACCTCGTGGAGGCGATCCATTCGGGATTTTCGAAGACTAAACGTAAGGGGAATGAAGGGGTAGTGTATTGGGAGGGGGAGGAGGGCGTTCCGACAGGTCCGCTGTCACCGTCGAGGGGAATCGTTATAAAGTTTGAGCCCCAGGTTATTGACTATCCACCACCCACTGTGTTTAAAGGAGAGAAACAGACAACGGTGCAGGTCGCCTCCGATACTTCAGCGGGTAGAATTCTTCAGGGTTCAGTTCCGCTTCGACCCTGGACGAGTGTTCATGCTTTGGTTAAGGAGAACCACATTGCCGTACTTCCGACACTACTAAATCTCCGAAGTGAGACACCACCCTTTTACCAGGGAACGTGAACTACCACGCTGCGCCTTTCACCGAATTCAAGGAGAAAGAATAACCAACTCTATGAATATCCACCTTGCGTGAAATCGAACGGCTGTTTGTGTCAGGCACGATTTGCGATGTGGAGTCAGTTGGCGGAAGGTAGCCGAAAGACACCGGCGGCAACGTCAGGAGTCAGATTAGTTCACTGGGCGTGGTAAACTAAGACCCGATCGGTCGTACGTGTAATACCGCTAGTTAAAGATGGTGAGCATAAGCCCAAGCGCAGCATCGTGAAAGGAAAATCGGAAAGAAGTTGGGGGGGGGATTGGAAATTCCAAGCTAATGTATTTTCCAAACTAGTAGAAGAAGGAAGAACAGCACTATTGAAAGAACTAGCGGAGTGATTGGCTCAACCCTGACTAATGACCATTCCGGCATGGATTTACCCCGAACGTCATCGGCCAGTTGAGATACTAGTGCACATACTAGTCAGTCATCTGAGTACTTTATATGCATCTGTGCGCCCAGGCAGCGGTCAAGTTTAATTATACAGGTATCATCAAAATCGCTATCACTAAACGAGGTGACAAGGTTTATATTATCAGAGGCATTTCCACATATACTGTACAAAACAATCATCGCCGAGCTCTTTTCTTATCCGGTTCTTGCTCGCCTTCATCGTCACTAATCTCCCGATATATCGTCTTCGGCTGAGTCTCCTTCCATGCCTTGGTGAAAACTGGGTCCTTCTCGGCCTTCTCGGCGTACTTCAGCAACGCTTCTCGGGGATCCTCATCGCGCATTGAACTGAGAGGAATATTCTCTCGAATATGCTTCTCATCCGGCTGTGACTTGGCGAAGGGAGTCGTTGCTGGTAGATGGGGTCTCCGTGGATCCCTGGGCCGTCCCGAGGCCGTGAGCCCAACAGTTGGGTGTCGGGAAGACCAGGTTGCTGAGCTATAATGGGGCACACCGTTCGATCCAACGACAACGTTGTCACCCGAGATACCTTGCGAAAGATCCATGGTAAGGTTCGGGTCATCATCGATGTGCCGGCGTTTGGGTGCTTTGGACATAACCAAAGCGGCACCCTTGGACGACATGTCGGGGTTGTAAAGTACATGTGTCTCAGCATTGGCAGAGCCCGTGAGGATCTGATTGAGTTTCTCATGCCATTGAACTGTAATCAAAGCCGATCCCGGCGTGACCGATGTGACCAATTCCGGCCTTAAGGTAGCGGGGTTCAAAATGTGTAAATGGCCGGTTTCCGAGCCCGTGAGGACATTCGCGGACGTGGGTGAGAATACAATATTCGAAGTCGGGTATCGGGAGGAGCTTGACGGGTGTGCCACGGTTGTGATCGGTTGCTTGAACTTCCTAGTATCCCAGAGCTTGATGGTGTCGTCTCCGCCCTTGGTGACAACCAGTCTTCCGTCAGAGCTGATATCCAGCCCGCTGGTCCATGTATCACGCGTATGGGCATCCCGAATCTCACCACTAGGCCGAGTAAATGGTCCATTGCCACTCCACATCATTAAACTTCCGTCAAGGGCAGCAGCAATAAGCACATTAGGTCCACCTTGCTTTGGGGAGCCCCATGCAACAGCAGTCATCTTGCTCCGACCAGCGGATCCAGCCGCTCTTGACTTATGCATTATGACTTCTTTCTGTGATCGTCCGATATTGGCGTCCCATATACGTACCGTACTATCCGATCCGGCAGTAGCACACAGGTTCTCGTCAGTGGGAGACCATGCAGCGCTGGTAACCTCCGATATATGCCCCTTGGTATTATGAAGATCTCTCAAGTACATGTCTCCTTTCACGAATTCAGTAACTGTCTCGCCGTCGCGATCAAGGATTCTCGGTTGGGGTGTAGCAGAAACGACCATGACATAGCTTGGCGACAGGGGATTGAACGCAGCATAATGCACGGAATGCGCCTCCTGCGCAGCCGACTGTTTTTTCGCGGTAGGATCAACGGACTTGAAGGCGCGCACCGTCGAAGGGGTCATCGAAGCGAAATCATGTAGTTTAATTGTACAGTCTGTTGACCCTGTGATTAAACGCGAGCCTGATGGGTCCACTGTGAGAGTTGTCACGGCGCGCTCATGAGTTTTAAGGACGAGCTCATGCGAGACAGGGAACTCATTGTCATCGTCATCGTCAGAGTCAGAATCATCAGAATCATTATCGCTGTCGCTTTCACTCTTGTCTTTTCGATCTTCAGCTCCAGTCTGAACGTTAGCTTGCTCGTCGCTAATCAAGCCCGCCTGGTCATCATCGGCGGCAGCCTTGGCAGACACATTTGTCCGCTTGGTGCGGTCTATCTGAGTGTTGACATCGGTCTTTTTTTCCTGTTTCCCGAAGCTTCCTGGGAAGAACTTCTTGAAAGCTTCTTCGTCGAATCCGTCCATTATGAGATGTATTGCATGAAGTTACTCGGATTTCGCAAAGAATCAATGACTTTACGGCGGCGATATCCAGTTTGCATCAATTGCAATGTTTGTGTTGTTTGCAAGCTAAGCTCTCGGTGCCGTCATTGACACAGCCTTCGTTTGTTATGTTCTGTAATGTTGCTATGAAGTGGAGTCGTACTTTATATATAAGATATGCGAATATATGACTGTAGAATCTCTACATCATATAATGCGTTTGTGTCATTGAAACTAAACTAGGTACACCACCAACAGATCCACTACAGGTATAAGCCTTCCACAGGACCTCCGTCTTGCTTCGTCTTCATGATACGCTCCCTAGCGGAGCGGAAATCCTCCATTTGCACTCTCATTCGGCGTTCTCTCAAAGCCATCAAGCCGGCTTCGGTACAGATTGCCCGGATGTCCGCACCTGAAAGATCGTCTTTTTGGTTGATAAACTCGTCAAGATCGACGTCATCGCCGAGTGACATCTTGGATGTATGCAGGGTGAAGATCTTTTTCTTGGTATTTTCTGGAGGCTGTTAGCAAACAGATCATCTGTTGTTTAGAAGGTAGCACGTACGGTCTGGGTTCTCGAAGAGAATCTTTCGATCAATACGACCAGGACGAATCAAAGCAGGGTCAAGTGTTTCAATCTTGTTAGTGGCCATGATAACCTTGACATCTCCACGGTCATCGAAACCGTCCAGCTGGTTAAGAAGCTCAAGCATGGTACGCTGAATTTCTCGTTCACCACCCGATGTAGAGTCGTAACGCTTCGTACCGATGGCATCAATTTCATCAATGAAGACAATGGAAGGAGCGTGTTCCGCAGCAACCTGGAAAATCTGTCGCACCAAACGAGGTCCGTCACCGAGGTATTTCTGGATAAGTTCACTACCGACAATCCGGAGGAAAGTGGCACTTGTTTGATTCGCAACCGCCTTGGCAAGCAGCGTTTTTCCGGTTCCCGGGGCACCGTAGAGAATGACACCCTTGGGGGGCTTGATACCCATCTCTTCATACAGCTCAGGGTGGAGCAGCGGAAGTTCGACGGATTCTCGAACCTCTTGAATCTGAGTCTCCAGACCACCGATATCCGCATAAGACTCCGTTGGTGCCTTGTCAAGTTTCATCACCGATACCAATGGGTCGGACTCCTCGGTGAGCACACCCACAACGGAGACAGACTTGTGGTGTAGCAGAATGCTGGCACCAGGCTCCAATAAGTCCTTATCAACGAAGGACATGATGGAAACATAGTACTCTGGCCCGGTAGCGCTGGAAACAATGGCATGGTCGTCGTCGATCAACTCTTCCAAGTTGCCGACTCCCATGGGAGTGCCTCTCATATCATCGACGCGACCCCTCTCGTCTGCATTCCGGTCCATGATATCGAACTCGCTTCTGCTGACGGAATCCTGTGCTGCTTGGGCCTTGGTCTTGCGTAAGCGTTCCATGTTCTCGACGTATTCTTCTTCTAGCAACAAGTGGTCGTGGACTCGTTGCATTCGCAAGTATCGTAATTTGCATCGTGAGGTTGGGAAGATGTCGGGGAGCTTGGAAGCTGTGCTTGGTCCGGCAGCCTTGCGCTTCTTACGTCCAAGACGAGTCGTGGGAGGGGGAGGTGGTTCGTATCTGGGCTTATCCTTCTTTGAAGGGACGCTTTGTAAGCGGATAGAGCTGTCGTAACGAAGCAATCGAATTTACCTTTTTATCCTTATCATCCCTTCCATCGCCCCCAGGGCCTCCGCCGATGTTGGACTGCTGGTTACCCTGTTGTAAAGAACATGTTAGAGAGACCGTAACATGACTAGGTGAGACTGTGACGACAGTGAGTGTTGGGAGCCAACCATAGTCCAAGTGTGTGCCGCAGAATCAACAAGACGTTGTTTACAGTCTAACTAGCCGAGACAGAATATTATGATGAAAGCGACTGTAATACTCTGGGAAATGGTTGGAAGATGGGAGGGTAATGTAGAATGATGACGAGCTTTCGGCGAGCTTCGAAGCTGTTGTCGTTGTCGCCATCCGTCGGGCTTGGCCACCGCCGTGACCCTCGCACGTGACCCCGAGCTATCATGTCGTTTGGATGCCACGCGAATCAGGCGCCTATCGAACAAATCACGGTCAATAGCGGCTGCGTCAGATTGACTCGAAACCATTTTGGACTTTCGGGCATTTCTGCAATTACGTACTACGCATTACTTGGACTGAATAGATACCCATATCTCAATCTTCAATGAACCTTGCAAAGTGTCTTTGACTTCCTCAGAGCTTGTCTCACCTGTCGATCTCGTCCCACTTGAACTAGTAGTATATCCGCAACAGACGAGCCCTCATTCCCCGCGGCGCATCCCCCTCGTCTCACGATACAAGCTACTCTCTGTCCGGTAAGGCTCTCTTCCTACCTTTGAGTCACAGGCACCACATCTACCCTTTAACCTTCCTTCTGGCATCCCGCTCTTGCATTATATGCTCAACTGCCCATATGTGATCGTAGCTAACGAGGCGGATCTGTAGCTCGGTTTTGCGCAGTGTTCCTGGGCTGCGAGCCCACCTTTTGACGCCTAACCACACACCCGTAAAAATTTCACAACTGTTTATTTTATATTCCATTTCTTTCCCTCACACAACTTGGACCCTAAATCCGGAATCATGGCCTCCAACCGATCCCGGCGTATCGCAAAGGAAATAGCCGATATCCACGCTGATACGCAGTCTGGGATCACAGCCGAACCAGTAGGCGGGGATGAAGATCTCACACATCTACGGGGTACATTTCCGGGGCCCCCAGGCACCCCATATGAGGGTGGCACCTACGCTGTGGATATAAAAATACCAACGGACTATCCATTTCGGCCGCCAGTAATGAAATTCCAAACCAAGGTCTGGCATCCGAACATCAGTAGCCAAACGGTAGGTTCTTATAGATGCAGCTAAGAGATAGTGGGTCACGTCTCTAACCGCGTGTATAGGGTGCTATCTGCCTTGATACTCTGTCGTCCGCGTGGTCCCCCGTTCTCACCATCAAGTCCGCTCTGTTGTCACTACAATCTCTGCTTAGCACACCCGAGCCTAAGGACCCCCAAGACGCTGAGGTTGCCAATATGCTGCTACGGAAACCAAAGGAATTTGAGAGAGTGGCACAAACCTGGGCTACCCTGTATGCTGGTGCTCCTAGCAGGACTGCGGGAGAGGGCAGTGGTGGCGCCACTAATGAGTCGCTGCGACAGCAAGAGCTCAAATTAAAGGAAGAAGAGGAAAAGGAAGACTTAGCTAAGTATGTCTCTCAATTATCTCCCCTTTGCTCGGCGCATTTTCGTTCTAACGTCCTTCTCTAGATACGATGGGTACAATAAGGACTTGATCGACCGCTTCTGCAGCATGGGATTCGATGTGGACCGTGTGGTGGCTGCCTTCAAGTACTACGGTGTTGATCGGATGAACGGAGAAGACTACGAACTGGAGGAGGCTTACATGGGTGACATTACCGCACGGCTTCTGGGTGAGCCGTAAGTGGTGCGACGCTGAATGCCTACGGCTGACCATCTGTTATGACTATGCATGCTGGATGGAGCTGGTGAAGCATGATTGCCTAGCGAGATTTATCTTACTTTCTTTGCTTGTTTTTCAGCCCAGATTATTACCCATCACCAGTTAACTAGCTTGTTTTGAGATCGACCTCATTTAATGATGACCAATATACCGAAATATATTTAACCGACTCTCCAACCTCTGTTCTGAATATTTTTTAGCAACACGTCACTTTCTTATATCGATTCAATAAAGAACTATTTCCAGTCCGGATTATAATAGCTGTAGCTGTAGATAGTCCAAATAGAAATCAATTTATACAATTTCCGTGCTATCGATAAGCACGTGGCGGACCTTTTTAGCTCCTCTCCGCCTTGAGATCTTTAATGCTTAACTCTAACAACTCACTTTTCTCCAAGTATGGGTCCATGACTAGCCACAAATCCACAACTCGAGTGAACTTATAATAAATTGCGACCTTTCCAGTTTGAGTATCGATAAATCCACCCGCCATATAATACACAGAAGAAGCTTGCCTGAGCGCACATTCCTTCGCCCACCATGATCGAAGACGATTTCTACCGCTCCTCATCGCAGTTCCGACTTTGGTCCTACACCGAGACATCCTTACAATCCCTACGCGCAACGACAAACGCAAACGCCAGTGAGCGCGTACGGTCTGCGCTCCGGAAATCGCGAGGAGCGCAACGATCAGCCACCTCATCCGCAGCCGGGACACCAGCAGCAAACCAGAATGGAAGCGACGCAGACAGCAAAGCCGGCGGCGATGATACAGAGATCGAGTGCCTAACACCCGAAGAAGAGCACCAGCTGGTGCGATACTTCTGCGAACAGATCATAGAGTTGGGAGAGATGTACAAACCCCCACTCCCAACAATAGTCCGGGTACGTCACACCGTCCCTACTCTACCGTCTATATACACAAATCACCCAAAGAAGCAACCACCAACTAACCACCAGAACTCCCACAGGCCACAGCAATCCAATACCTCCGACGCTTCTACCTAACCAACTCCCCAATGACCTACCACCCGAAATCCATCATGCTCTGCGCGCTCTTCCTGGCCACAAAAACAGACAACTACTACCTCTCCCTCCGACAATTCGCAGAAGTAATCCCCGGCGGCACAACACCGGAAGACATAGTCCAGCCCGAATTCCTGGTCATGCAAAGCCTCCGCTTCACCTTCGACGTCCGCCACCCCTTCCGCGGCCTCGAAGGCGGCATCATGGAACTCCAAGCCATATCGCAAGGCATGGGCCAACCGGCCCCCCACTTCCCAACCCAGACCCCAGACGACCTCAAACGCAGACTCCATTCCCTGCCCCCATCGCCAACAACACCCTCATCCTCCACCACAGACCGACTCGCCCGCGCGCACCACAACACCCGCGAGACCCTCAAATCCGCCGCCCAAATGACAGACGCTTACTTCCTCTACACGCCGTCCCAGATCTGGCTCGCTGCGCTCATGATCGCGGACAAGCCGCTGGCGGAATTCTACCTCGAGACTAAGCTGGGCGGCCCCCAACAACAGCAACAAGGATCCCCACTCTACGAGCTCCGGACAAAGCTCCTCCGTACCTTGACCAATTGCTCTAACCTCCTCCAGGCGTATAAGCCCCTCGCCTCAGATCCGGACCAGAAGAAAAACCTACGACGCATCCGGAAGAAACTCTCCCACTGCCAGAACCCGGAGAAGGCTGGCGTGGCGGGCCAGAAGCGTATACCTGCGGCGGCGGCTGCAGCAGTAGCAGCGGCTGGGGATCCGGCGACCTCTGAGAGCGAAATGGAGCGTCTGGCAAAGAAGCGGAAATTGGACGGGGAACGGCCAAAGGATATATTTGGAGGGGAATTAGTGACGCAACGGACGAAGGAGATATAACAGCTTCAGTAGCAGGTTACGCCACAGCGGTAGATTACAGGAAGATAAGTCGTGGTCTTTTGGGGCTCTTGTATAATTAGAATATTCTTTAGCTAAACTGCTACTCCATGGTATCATGCTATCGTTGTTAAGCAAAGCCCTACCATGAGTGCAGGCCAAAGGGTCCAAGGACCATCAAAAGAGTCCTACATGATGTCTATAACAAACGGGGAAACCATAGAAGCGTAGAAAAAGATAAGAATATAAAATTGAGCCCTGAAACGTGAGGGGTCTAGCAGGGGGTGAGGTATGAAACACAGACAGACCATCTAATAAAAATAAAGCAACCCAAACAAGCAAGAGCAGATATCTCCAGATATGTATGTAAGAAAGAAAACCGTCCCCCGCCCATGTCACTGTATCACTCAGGATGGATCATTTCTCCTGTAAGAAACTTTTTAAGTTCAACTCCCCTGCAGCTTTTGAGTTTTCATTGTCGTCTCTGACATTCCAATCATAACAAGAAGCGTTCGTTTTCCTTCATTTTTTTCGTGCCTTGTCTTAGACAGCACCGGCGTCAATCATCTTCTTGCGCAGGTGGTTCTTGTACTGGCCGATAGTACCATCCCACCGGGTGACGGTCTTGTTCTCACAGACCATGATGTCCTTGGCGATCTTGTCGAGGAGACGGAAATCGTGGGAGACGACGACGACACCACCGCTGTAGGCGTTGATGGCATCAGCCAAACTGTCAATGGTGGGGATATCGAGACCGTTGGTAGGTTCGTCGAGAAGGATCATGTTAGGGGATTCGATGGCCAACAGAGCGAACACGATACGACTCTTCTGACCCTCAGACAGAGTGCCCATCAGAGCAGTCTGGGCCTCACCGCTCAGACCATAACGGCCGAGCTGTTGGCGCCAGTACTGGTAGTCCTGACTCTTATCGGGGAACTTGTCGCGGACAAAGTCCAGGGAGGACTTGGTCAGGTCGAGCTGCTCGGCAGAGTGCTGACTGTACATGCCCAACTTCAAGTGAGTGTGACGGCTGACACGACCACCAATGGGTTGCAGCTTTCCGGTCATGATGCGCAGCAAAGTAGACTTGCCGACACCGTTGGGGCCGACCAGAGCAGTTCTGGAGTCCATATCAACACCGAAGTCAAGGTGCTCATACAGAGTATCGTCCCAGCTGCCGGAGTAGGAGAAGCTGACATCATCGAAGGACAGGACGGGAGGGGGAAGCTTCTCAACTTCGGCGAAGCGGAAGCTGAAGATTCTGTCGGGAATAACGGGTTGGATGAAACCATCGGCCTCCATCTTGTCGAGGATCTTCTGGCGGGACTTGGCCTGTCTAACCAAGTTGGCGTATGTACCGGCGGAAGCGATGAACTTCTTGATGTGGGCAATTTCTTCCTGCTGCTTGTTGTATGCCTTCATCTGGTTCGTCTCCTGTTCGCTACGGGTCTTGTGGTAAGAATCGTAGTTACCACCGTAGTACAAGAGCTGCTTCATGCGCATATCAATCATGGTGGTACAGACACCGTTCAGGAAGTCCATGGAGTGGGAGACCAGGACGAGGGTGCGCTCCCACTTCTTCAGGTATTCTTCCAACCACACACAGGCCTCGAGATCCAAGTGAGCAGTAGGGTCGTCCAGCAGAAGAAGGGAAGGCTTGACGAACAGAGCCTTGGCAAGAGCCACACGCATACGCCAACCACCAGACATATCCTTAGTCTTCTTGTGGATGGTGACCTTGTTGAATCCAAGACCAGTCAAGATCAAGGAAGCACGAGTGTGGAAAGTGGAGGGATCCATTTTGTCCATACGCTGGATGCCAGTTAGTGTCATCCCGACGACTCGTAGGCGAAAAGATAACTTACATCATACAGATCCTCGAGGATAGGGCTGTCGGGACCTTGCTCTTCCAAAATATCTTCGGCCTGCTTCTCCATGCGGTCAAGCTGGTTCTGAGCCTCAGTGACGACCCACTCGAGGGCACCAAGTTCACTAGGAGGAGCACCTTCGTTCAGGAGGTAGATATCGATATGCTCGGGAATAGGGTATTCACGCTGGGCGATAGCCTTCAGCAAAGTGGACTTGCCACAGCCGTTCTCACCGAGAAGACCGTAACGACGACCGAAGTTCAGTTCGAGAGTGGAGTCGGTGATAAGGACCTTGCCGTGGAACACCAGGGAAGCGGAGGTGACCTTGACGTCGCGAGAGGCTTCCATGGAAGAGAGCACACCGGTCGTGACACGATCCGAAAGGCCATGCTTGTCCATCTGTGCTGTAAGCTTCTCAACCTCCTTCATCTTCTCGGTCGTGGTGGCGGGCTGATCATCGGTTGGGACGTCACTGTCGACCTGGGGGGACTCAGCACCGTCCTTCTTTCCCTTGCCGAGCTTCTTCTTGGTGTCGCCATCGGCGGCACGCTTTGCCAAACGAGCGGCTTTGGAAGCAGACACCATTTTGTCGGGTGTATGTGTTGGTAGGAGGGGGGAGGGGGGGAGTGGAGGAAAGCGTCAAGAGGCGGGAAGGAGGAAAGATCAAAAGCCTGTCGGTAAGGCGAGAAAGAAAAGAGAAAAAAGAACTTCCAGTGAGTGGATCAAAATAATAGCGGGGTCAAAGGGGGTCAACCAAACGCCTTTTTTCTCTGAGTGGGTGGGGTGAAGTTTTCTTGGAAGCCCTTATCGATAGAGAGCACGCCGAATAGTAATCGATACGTAGTAACTACCCCAAAAAATTGGTCCGAGACAGAAGGAACACAAGAGAAAGGGGAGGATATAATATATAGACCAGGAACTCAACAAGGAAACGGTCTAGTGGCGATAACCGAAGATGATAACGCCCCAACAAGATGGATGAGAGGGAAAAGGAAAGAAAACAGAGATTTGAGCACACTTCAATAAGGAAACGTGATTTTCTTGCCTTCAAAAATTCGTTCAGTGGGTCCCGCCCAGCCGCCCCTCTGATTGGCTTTCCAACGTCACCGCACGGGTTGTGGCGCAGTCTAGTCTTCTTTGGGCACCAACGGCACGTGATTTACAGCCTTACGTCCAAGGCACCCGTCCAGACTGGTTCGCAAGTAGGGTAATAGCACATCACCCTTACTCATGTAGTGGCAGATGAGTCTCCATGGGACATTCAGCCACTGCATACAGCCATGTGAGATTCCGCAGGATTGTATTCTGGCGATAACTTTATGCATCAAGAGGGGTTCCCGCATATGCCTAGCGGTGGGAATTCTGCAACTGATCGATCTATAACTACTATTCTCTGTAAAGTTACCGGATTGATATCGTTTGCGATTCTACTTATTGCAAACTGTGGTGCTAACAATAGTCTGGGTATTGTGAATATCTTGAGATACACTGTGAAGCTGGTTTTGGGTCTCTATTAGCATCGTAGATTCTCTAAGAATAAACTAGATAGCTCTCCGCTCAGACTTCACCCTTTGAGGAACAATTTGGTATAGGAGATCTTTCGTATATGCTGCTGCCATCATAGCAGCATATCCTTGCCATTCTGTGCTTGTATGAGAGTCAGCATAGTCACAAATTCCACAAATTACCAAACCAGGGAAATGGTTTATCAGCCCAGCGGCTTCCATTTTAAAGCATAAGACATCCTGCTCTGCTGCCAGCCTGTCACGGAATAGCGCATCTTTGATGGCTCTGTTTCCAGATGCGATCAGGCCATAGCGGATAGCGGGATTATCCTCCTCCTCCTCCGTCCGCCCCTGTCGAACAATCAAATTCGACCCATCACACAGCCTGGCACCGATATCTGGGTTATCAGTGGGGTGGAAATGGCTTTTATACAATCTATCGCTCTCGGGAGGAGGCCGTGCGTATTTACGCCTCAGCCTTGTATTGTGTTCAATAACGATGCGGATATTGTCCTCTATCTGATGTCCCTCCTCCTCATACTGCGCCTGGAGTCCGGCTACTGCAGTGCGCAGGATGAGAGGCGGCTGGTTTAGCCGCCCTGTCTGAAGGAAGTCCTGGCCTTGTAATTCCTTGCCGAAGTCATATTGGATCAAGCCAGCATGTCCACCACGACACGAGCTTACTACAACATCACCGAGACGGATGTCCTGTCTCGTTGGTATGCCCTGCCAATCCCACCTATCAGGCCGAATCGGATGTTTAGAAAGCTGTGTAGCATATCCCGAGCAACACACGCCGCGGTTGATACCCCGTATTCGCCATCCGGAAGAACAGCTATAACGACCTGGTGGCTTCCAATTTCTCCCAGGGTATAAAGATTATTGTCATTTGGCGAAAGCCTCTCCGTCCGGCTATGTTTTCTGTCAAGAAAGGCTCGAGCAGCTACATATTCCGTCACCTGGGTACATATCAAGCCAGCAGTATACTGATCAGGATCTGACATTGTGATACTAGTTGTGGTGTGTTGACAAGAGGGTTTCTAGATTTTTTATTTGACCAAGATGGGGCCATCGGTTTTCTTTCACAGGGAAAGCAAAAGTTTAGCAGCGGGAAACGAAGAACGGAATGCGGTACTGTACTCAAGTTCAGCCTTCTACTTTGTCAAGAAGAGGGGTAATGGGAAGGATAAGGCTGCGCCCAGCATATAATTCGAGGGCTGGGACATCAATTAGTTCCATGTAGGCATCATACATATCCGTTGCCAAGCCACATGTTATGTAATATTATAAATGTGTAGGGCGCTTTATTTCTATCTGCGTAAAGGGTTGAGCAATTAGATGGAAAGTATGTACATAGGTCGCTTTATAGAGTGTGTATAGGGCCCAACCGTCTGTATTGGGTAACAAGCCGGTGTATATTAACGTATGCGCTGACTGATTTTTTCCAAAAACTCCATTTCCTCTGTCGTAATCCAAACATTATCCGGTACTGTCACCTTCCCTTCCTCAATCACAATCTGTGCTGGAACGGTAGCTTCAGTGCCATCGTCTGAAGTAGTCGGGGCCAAGCTCTCTTGCTTACGTTCCCGGCCACTTTCAGTGTCCTCAACAACAACTTTGGGACGTCGGAGAGGATCAGGAGTCCACCAATATACCGGAAACCGTCGGTGGATGTTATTGATCACCAGTGCCACCGCTTGCATCATGATACACCCAAGAAACATGATCAGGACCAGAAACCAGCCGATTTCATACCCTTCGGTGACAGCGAGGAGAGCCGTTGCGCCAGCGGGCGGGTGAACGGTCTTCGTCAGGACCATCACAGCGGTGGTGATTGCACAGGCCAGGGCTCCCCCGACCTGGGGCAGTGCATTGGCATGAGGGTTTAAGGCGAAGAGCCTGCCGATGCCGATGCCGATAGCGCTTGCCATGACCTGGCTCAGGACGGCGTTGCGCGGTTGCGCAAATGGTGACTCAATGGCGCTAAACTCCAGCACAGCTGCGGCACCCTGTGCGAACATTAGTTTGTTGATCAGTGCAGGGGTCTATGTGTGGTAGGTTAGGTACATACAAAACTAGCCACAATAATTGGCGCATGATGGTGCTGGAACGAGGGGACATGCAAGGATACTTCGGCGACGACTAATACACCGCAGAAGACGCCGATCAGGGACCAAAAGGCAATCACAAGGTTACCCAGGTTCCTTGGAGGTTTGTCCCCTCTATACCCCAGGAAATGAGAGATGGGACGAGGTAGCCAGCGCCATGGCGGACGTGGAATCAACGGATTTAGGTATCTGTCGATATCCACATGCCAGCGGGAAAAGTCCACGTTCCCTAACATTGAGGTTGACTGGGGTCTGTTCTACGCGCGAAATGAGTTGCTGCGTGTTAGGTCACAAACACATCCTCCGGGTTTATGTATCTGGTGAAGTTAGAGGTAGTGGCCACTTGTTGGAGGTAGAAGAAAATGTCAATACAACGCTAGGTACAAAGCAGAAAAGATTCCCCAGCACTAAGGATATATAAAAAGCATGAAAGAAATACAGGAAACAGGAACTGCTGAACAGGGAAAGAAGGGGTCTAGGCTGAGCCGAGAAATTACCGGCCATCGACAGAAGATGAGGACCTTGACTAATACATTGTCCTCTTACTTGGATCATCGGCTGCTCGCAGACAGTAAACGAGAGGTGGACACTCACCAACCCTTGGTCGTTTGAAAAAGAATAGGAGATTTAACCCGCAGCGCGTTCATGAAAGCGCCACTCAAGGTTGGGACCATGGGATACTTCAGTACGTTCAGTCCCCGAGGAATGACCTTAAAAGCCAAGGGACTGACAGACGGTGAACCGTCTGTACCGTATCTCCGCGGAAAGTCGAGAGAATGGCCGTCTGGAACTGACGGAAGAGACATTGTGTCGCCTGAAAGGGATGGCGATGACGGTGCTCACCTGCCTGGGTCTGCCATTGAGTGCATTTCAATTAAGTAACAGATTGCCGTCTTGGGTTTAGCGGTATGGGGACCTGAGGATTTTCGTCGACCCCACAGTTTCGTAACGTAATTTACGGCGTGCCCTACATGATGGGCATACTCCCCGATTCGTGGATTACCTCGGCCACTTCAGGTTAGTTTCATGTCACGGGTTCAATCATCACTCATCCATGACTGTTGACCGTTTTATTGCTCTTCTTCCTTTCGCTCAGTCTTGCAGAGAATAAGCCGAGCTTGTCAGCTACGCCATTACTGACCACCGTGCAGTCTATGATAAAACCAAAATCGAGAACATCAAGAAGGAAGGACGTCAATGGCAGAATACCGACTTTGCGTGGACTCCAGTCATAACGGGCTTTGCAGATGTGCGCGACTCGGCTCAGTTTGCCAATGAGATCTATCGGTTGTCCACATAACTCGTACTAACAAACACCTCGGAAAGATATTTTCATCAAATTCGGTTAGGGGTTGTTTTGCCTAAAAAGGCATGTTGTTATTAATACCTCTAGGTAGGTACGAACAGGAGACAGCATCATATAGAGCAGTGAGTCACAAAAAGAGTGCGGAAAAGAAATTGGCATATCATCGTCGTCAATAAATCATCTTTACATATACAAAATTTAGACATCAAGGGTCTTGCCCAGTCGTGAACTCTCCTGCGCCAACTCAATCAACCGGATAACATCACGGGCCTCCGCTCCGCTGGCGGGAAGGTCGCCCTCTCCGGCAAGAGCGCGGGCAAATTTTCTGTAGTATTCAGAGTAGGTGGGGGGCTCCACGGTCGGCGCAACTTCTCTGACGGGCTTGCCGTTCTGGATAGTGGTCAGGGTACCTGGGAGAATAACGTTAATATATGTGCTACCGAAAGAGCCTTTGTCTGTTTTTCAGAGAGAGAAGCATACCATATCTTTCACTGGGTTCCCTGCCGTATACGCTGTCACCGGGCATGATTCCGCTCTTGAGTTGCTCCTCTTGGATATCGAGATGGAACTGTTTTGGAATAGCATGTCAGCTTGTTGACTCTAGCTCCAATGTCACCGAAACCAAATCCTTACCTTCTTAAAGCTGCCCTTCTCTCCGCGGACCCAGAACCTTAGCTGCTCCTCTTCCGGACTGACGACAGCGGCCTTGGCCGTCACCAGAGGACCGTTATTATAGTGGAACAGGACGGTGAAAGTATCCTCATAGCCGGACGTGTTTACCGCCCGCTGAGAGCCAATGAATCCAGTGACACGGTTTGGCAGTCCGAACAGTTGCACGGCCTGATCTAACAGATGACTTCCGAGATCGTAAATCGCACTACCGCCGGGAACGACCTTGTTCTTCCACTTTGAAACCTCGGGAGCGGGCTCTTCGGGACGATGACGATCGAAGTGAGTCTCGAATTCAGCGACTCGGCCAAGGACACCGCTCTTTATGAGCTTGGAGGCGGTCACGAAGTCGGCATCAAAGCGACGGTCTGCACAGATATCATGGTTAGTTACAATTCTGCAACTTCCTGGTGCTCCAACGAGGGCGCTTGGCGATGGGCAATGGCACATACTTTGGTACACAGCCAACAACTTGTTCTGTTTCTCAGCAAGGGCGACAAGCTCCTCGGCTTCCTGAGTGGTGGGGGTGAAGGGCTTCTCGCAGACAACTGTAGTAGCTTTGTTAGCGCGCACGAAAGGAATTAATACGTTAGATCGCTATTAAGACACTCACCATGCTTTCCATGCTCCAAGGCCAATTTCGTCAACTGATAATGCGACTCTGGTGCGGTAGTGATAATGACGACATCGACTCCGTCATCCTTGACCATGTCTTCGGTAGTCCGATAGGACTTGATGCCGGGGTGATCCTTCTCGGCATCGTCGTCGGGCTTTGGTGTACGCTGGACAACAGCGTACAATTTCAAATGGGGGACATCGGAAACAAAAGGAATGTGGAATGTTTTGGCGCTGAAGCCATATCCGACCACACCAACGTTAAAAGTCTTGGAAGCCATCTTGATTTATATTTCTATCGAGGGCAATCACAGGGTTGTCACAATAATAGGACTTTGAGAGAATGAACTTGACAGAGAGAGACCGGCGGGGCATTGCGGAGCTTTATATACACTTAAGAAATTACCATGAAGTCATATTAGTGAAGAAGTAGAAACACAGCTAGTGCGGGGGAAGGTCCTCGCGATAGGAACCTTTGGGTCCGGCGGATATGGCGGGGCAAAATTCTACCAATCTGGCAAAAGCCGACCGTCTGTCATTCTTCCGAGCCGACCGATAAATGCTCTTCCGCCGGAAATGCTTTTCCCGATCACGCTTTCTCTACACCTACACACCGAGTAATCTCAAGGGCATCCTATCACAGTTAGAAAGCGTCATTCTTGCTATATTTCTGGAAGGTCCATCACTTACCCGATGTCCCTCCGGCTGACTCAGCGTGCTCTCATACACCAAATTCGGATCCCCGAGGATGTCAAACAGGGGCGTCGAGTCCGAGCCAAGAAAGGCCCGCACATTCGAAGCAGGTATACCCTCCGTGTTATACATCTGGATTGGTCCCTTCTCGGCCGCCTTTCGCTTCTGCTCCACCGTGCCCCGGACATACTCCAGGTACGGTGGATTGCCCGGATAGAGCACGTTATCAGCCACCAGAACCGACACATCAGGAACGATCATGCCAAGCTGCTCGCATAGTTTCAGATCCGTGGTATATGCGGGCTTGTAGTGATCAATGAACATGATCTCCACCTGTGGCACTTCGCCGCTGGTGTACAACTTATCCAGGGACTGGTCGCTACGACCCACCAGGATCTGGACGAAATCCCGGAGACCCGCCAGATCAAGCAGCAGGGTCGAGATGGCGGCATATTCGGGGTTGACCTCCAAACTGTAGTACTTTTTGCCACCGGCCCGACGCACGGCATCGCCGAACAGGATGGCCGAGTAGCCCACGTAACCTCCGAGTTCGATCATAATCTGGGGCTTGTGCACCGCAATAAGGTCTGCTACGACCTTCCCCTTCTCGGGCCCCACATGGATGAGATGGCGCGATTTCGCAAATTCGTCAATCAGATCCAATACCTTCTGGGGGTTTCCCTGGATCTCGTCCCGGTTCGGCTGGGCGTAGATGAAGTCCAGAAGGTCGAGTTCCGCTTCGTCATTGCGCTATTCATGGAGCATGTTAGCACTGATTTCTAAGGGTAGAGACGCATCGGATCAACCTTACCTGACGAGTTGTAGGCTGGTTTTGCGACATTATTAATGATGACAAAAGCTACTGATAACTTAACTCGGATGAACCAAAGATGGGAAACTCTCACATCTAAACATGAACAACGCCACAGATACTCCAGAACAACCGTAGTATTTATACTTTCATCCCAAGGGAACGATCGTCATCATCCAAACCTAAACAACAAGCTCGGACATAAATATACTCCCACCAGCGATCCATAACCCCGAAAACGGTACTAATTCCGCATTCCCCAAACTATACAGACGAAGAACAACATTGGCTTATCTAGCATGATACTATGCACCAACCACATAGTAGAATCATGCCCCTGTTCCAACATTGTAAGCCTATCTTTATCTCGCGTGCGAAGCATCGGGCTCAGATACCGGGTTCAGTTTAAGGCCCCGCAAACTCCGAGGGTTTGAGCCCCTCATTTGATTTGATATTCTGAAGGATCGAAGGATCGTCAGGGTTCAGCATCCTTTTTCCTTTAGTTTGAGTCATGGTATGCCTATTTTATTGTTCAGCCTTGTGAGTCATATAGGTTGGATGGGCTTTACGAGATATTCTAGGGAATATGTTCGGTCCAAGCGCTTGTTGTGTTGTGTATCTCCGAGAATGCTGACAGTTCTTAGTAGAAAGGTAGCAAAAGGATGGGATCTGTGTTAAGATATAGACTATACTGGAATTATAAGAGTATACATTGTCGAAAATTGGGGGTTCACGGCAGCTCTAACAAGGACCTTAGGTGTATTGACCATTTAGCAACGTAGCTAGAGTTAAGCCTTGTAGTGGCTCCGATGAGTATGGATATCTGGCAATATTCCAGAGAGATGTCAATTGCCAATCCCGTATGTGCAGAACTCCACTATGTCAAGGAGTAGCATGGAAGGAATCACGCCTCACTTTTAGGGAGATGGCGGCAACGAAACTGAGCATTTGCACTTTTTATTTCCCCTTTACGGAATAGGCTGAGCTCTAAATAATGAATTCTATATGCAATTATGGATAGTGGATTCAATGAGGGCCTAGAGCTTCCATTGCAATAACGATGATGGGAGACTTCTCTTGTTTGAAGGACAGTAGCCTTGACATCGACGAGAAAAGTCCTCTACCAAATAGAAAGGTATGAGAAACTCATTATATATTAAAAGTTTATAACATGTTCTGTGTACAACAGACAGAATAATACAATAAATCGCGCCAAACTGGATTGGCCGGCTTATACCAGATCATTATATTACTTGAAAACCGAGAGATAGAGCATCATTCCGTAGCTTTTTCAACCACTGGAGCAGTAAGCAAGTTAAACTATAAATCTTTGAAGTTTATGTACTATGCATGATAAGTTAAACCATTGTGGACCAATAATTCCGTCTTTTGAGCGCCTGTTAATGGCACTATTTACAAATAATCTACCTCTTACTACCGTCCTGGATGGTTGGATACTATGGCCTTGGCTTGCCTACCACAAGCAACATGGATTTGGCTGCAGACTTCATACTAGAAGTGACCAATAATTGATTCACAATATGATAGAGCCATGAAGTCCAACCGGTGAATTCCCCTGTAGTAGACGCCTCAGTTCATTTGTAAACCTGACGATAATCCTTCCCCTTTGTAAAAGTCCTATATTCATGTCTACGGAGCCTGGATTGCAACGCAGCACAGAGCATATACAAGAAGGTACTGCAGCATGAAAGCTAGTTAAACAAATCCTACACAATTGTTCAGTTATTGATGGGTACTTGTTCCAGAAGAGGCCTCTGTTGTCTGCTGAACTTCATTTTGACTAGGTCCCAGTCCTCCGAAGGTGCCTATGCAGAAGTTCTTCCCAGATTACACAAAATCAGCCCGCTGCTACCTGAATAACAAAACCGGGGCGGTGGGGCTGTGACACTAGATACTCTCTAGTCATCCAGTGAGGAATCAAATTTAAGGTATTTAGCATCCAGGCGCGCCACTCCCAGTGTTGTAACCATTTTGGTCACAGCAATGGTTGGCAACCTGCGAGCAAAATTTAGCATATAATAGACCCCTCAAATCATTTTGTCCGGTATAAACATCACAGAGGAAGATACTGACATCATTTGGTCCGATGTAGTCACAGCAGAGGTTCCACTCGCCCCAAACGGTGTCGTGGGGGAACAGGGATGGACAGGATGCAGCACTGGCACCTGCGACAAGAGCGACCAGGGTAAGCGTGATGACAGTAAACTTCATGGTGGGAAAAGGAGATAGAAGGATTATGAAGCGACCAGAGACAAGATATATACTGACGATTGTTCGAATTGCTAGTTTCCAGCTCTATTTGGGGGGGGGGGGGGATGGCAGAGGTTTATATGTCCATACCCCGCAGTGCGACACCGCAAACTCGCAGTTTCTAAGATCCATATAGATTAATTTGATCCGTACATCTTCTGAGACATCGCTTGGTCTCATCCCCACACTCCTGCAATCTTAGAGTCAGCGGACCAGCCAAGCGGACACCATGGATTTCAGCTCATAAATATAAGTATATTTTAGTGCTATAGGTCCTGTCTACCAATCCAACCCCCGTCTTGGCGAGGCCTAGCACCGTCTTGAATATATTGACCACATATTAATATTTCCGCCTGTCACGAACCCCGGAAAGCCTGGAGATATAATAATCTGAAGATGATGGCACTCTGTTTCATTAGACCCAGATCGGATGCACCTCAGTACCAATGGATTTTGAATGTCATTGGATACAGCGCCTCAGCTTCATGGGTCTACTTGAGTGAGGTAAGACTGGTCCAATTATACGCAAAACCAAGATACTATCTGAGACACCCTCTGACTGAATCCCGCTCTAGATCTTAGCAACACACCTGCGTGCATACGGTGTTGGCCTGGGAGCTAGCAGCCAATGGCTGGGTAACGTTGTCAGGACCTAGATATAAATCTTGTAGTTGCGGCACTGCTGTGGTGAGAGCTCCAATCTCTGCAATGGCTATTGATGATCATCCAGCCAGCTGCGTTATTATTGCAGTTAGTGCACTCTCAATAACAGTTTTCATACCATTAGTAATGTCTTGAGGACTAGACAACAGAGTATCAGGTAGCGCACGAGTCTTCATATTATACAGTTTCGAGAGATCCTTTCCAGTTATTACTCTCTCGGGGGATAACTGGTGACAACGTATCCTCTATTCTGGGACTGTTGCTGAGGTTTCTTTGATACCGAGGGATTTGCTCTCGAAAATCAAACTTAGGTAATCTGTGTTATTGTATGTTTTAATATGGCCTCAGAGAAATTTCACTAGATAATTTTGAGGTTACCAAGCAGATACTCCTCTGTCAACTGGTAAATGTACATTGTCGAACTATTATTTCTGTTGTATCTGCGTTTATCTACCGGCTACGAATCTGGGAATACAAAGTCGCTATGGCATCATTATGCTCGAGTCAGAAAGAATCTCTCTTTTTTACAATCTGATCTCTTCAATGTCAGTCTAGTTGTTAATAGCAAGCTATCAGTCTTCCCAAGGACGCGTGTCACCATGGTTGAGTCGGACTTGGTCAAAGATATGGCGAGTAAGATCTATACTAGGAGCTTAGTGGCTTATACAATCTAAATCCTTCTTTTCTTGTCTTCGTGACGATATCATATGCGCCAGGCATAGCTAGTTGGGGTTAACTGTGGTGGAAATGATGGGCCATGTTATTTGGCCACCGCAGCGAATAGTCTGTAAGTCTGCTCTCATGCTGAGCCTGGAGCTTATATTCTGGAAGACCCGTTAAGTCTCTTGCGTTAGTACAATCCAAGCTTATCCATGCATCTAACATTTGTCAATCGTTCAGAATGGTTAGCGTACAGCAAGGACCCTGATAGGAACTTCTTAGAAGCCTATTGATCAGTTAGTCGACCGCCTGAAGATTATGCTGCTGGGGGATAGAGATTCTGTTAGAAATAAAAGAATACAGCATCTTGAGGTGTTGTATATAGACAGGCTTCCGGCTTGGTCGGTGTTAGCCGTATCCGTTTGGGCTTTATTGAGAAAAGAAACAACATTTTGTACTATAAAGTAAGAGTATGTATGGATAATGTATACTTAAAATAGAATATCTGCAGCTAAGTCTCTGGTTTGGAGAAGTATGCAGAGGCCATAATTTCCAGCAGATGTTTTTGCGTCATTTGCTTGACACCTTCGATTTTATGTGAAGGCTAATTGGAAAGTGATGATATTGTCGTTCGCCAACACCGCATTATGGGGATCTAGAATCCTCCCTCTAACCTTTCTTTCTTTACTGGCTAATCCGTATTGCGTGGATAAAACCCAGCTCACTTCCTAATAGTTAATTTTCAATGATTCCTCGAGGATAATCGCCAAAATATGCTATCAGTCGGCCTAGAAGACTTTTTATAGTCTAATAGTGTGTATAAAAGATTCAAGGAAGAGAAAGAGGAAGAAAAAAAAGAAAGAAGAGAAGAAAGCATATATATCCCATGACAGAAAAAACGAAGTATTGTGTAGGCCGTCTGGGATCGCATAGCTCATTCTCATGAATCTTTCCTAGCCTATATAGTTATTTTGACAAATAGATACAGCTAGTTGACAAAATGAACTATAGAGATACGTACCGGTCATTGATTTCCATCGTCTATGACATTCGAGTAGGTTGTTAATGCAATTCGAATCGTACCCCCTTGCACCACCGATGACGCTTGGCTAGAAGTTCCAGCGTCTTTGTATGTGCTACCAGACAGTAAAGCAGGTAGCGCTGAGTTTACACGATAGACTCCATGTTCCCAGATGGCTGTGGGCATGTTAGCTAATAGTATGTCTCGCTGAGTTCTCAGATTCTCCCTTCGCAGATGATTTCCTAGGAACTGAGGCACCCTTATAAGACTCAGTAGAATGGGGAGGTAAACCTAGGCTATCGTCAGTTATTGTCTGCAAGACCTTAGACCGCCTGTTACTACGCACCTAGCTGCAAGATTTGATTGCCGGAAATGAAGAACCAACGAAAATAAGCCGTAGCAATAACCCTATTGTAAATCTTGAACGTAGAACGAATATTTAGCGACAATCGGTCAGCGGACTGTAGGGGTAACAGAGATGTTACAGTTCGCTTACGGAGGGGGAGGCGAGTTGGCAAACTTCGGAATGTATGCACACACTCACTACCAACCATGGCTTATGATAGTAACAAAGGCGTGCAATTCTTACAGCTTGTGGAGGACAACATAGTACCAAGCGACAAGAAAAGGAGTAGGCAATCAGGATAACAACAGTGTGACGGTTTGTCACTTATTGCTAGAAGTAGGAGTGCTAGGAATCGACTTTAGTATTCCTGTGAGTAATATAAGCACATATAAGCCCCCTTCTTTCATAGGGTACGCTTGTCGGACTGGGGGTTTCATGTTTGGCTCTTTATTCTATTGTAATCCTCGGCCGTACATCCTATAGGAGGAAGCACTAAAGCGACTATTCCTTCTAGCATACCTTGTTCGCTAAATAATCATGTTCACTGCGTCCCCTACAGTTCTCCATCAGCTGTTCTTTGGGTTTATGCAGAACTGCCGAGTACAAACACTCACTTAAAGCCGGTACACTGGCCTGAACTCAATAACTTCTCTCTACCTTCAAGATTCTCTGTTCACACGAGAATCAGTACATTGTAATCTTGGTAGCTCTATACGTTGGGGGGGAACGAAGAATGGCACGTATAGCTGGGCATAGGCCGCACGGTGTCTTTAGGGTCAATTTTGTATCTTTTGCAAAGGCAATTCGTGGTCGTCGCCGGCTCTTGAGCTTTTCCGCGTAGGGTTATCTTTGATTTGAAGTACTTGGGTTAGTGATATTTCCCTGTTGTCATTGAGGAGACGGAATCTGTGTCATCTATTGTGGCGTAGATAATGACATTAGATGTGTGGCTTCTTTACGGAGTACATAGAGTTTTCTCTCCGGGACCACTTTCTTTCTTCTTTAAACTCTATGCTTGAACAGTAGGCGGCAAACACCATCATTCTATATATCGGAGTACACCATAGCATAGAATAGATTAACTGACCGGAACTACTGTACATTAGTTCAGGAATAGCAAGCTTATTTTTCAACTGCTGGAAGACTTTTATGGAGACTTCCCCACCGACTGGGCCTACGACATCTTCATCTTCGATTTTGAACTAGCCAGTCTGATTTGTGGTCTCGCCGAACCCTATCACTCTACGTATCGGCGATGCTGTGTCGCTGGTGTAGATTTTACCAGTGGATTCTAGGGAGCCTTAGTTATTATGCCCCAATAAAGCCGTCTCAAAACACGCCATATATACACCTATGGTTCAGTATAAAGAGTCGCATCTGTTTTTAGCCATTTGTTTAAAGGCGTCCTCGGTGACAAGGCGGCAGAACGATGAGGCTTCCGTACCAACAGCCTAATTTACCAAGAGAACGTGAGATTATTTTGGGGTACTTCACCATATGAAGCAAAGCAGTACGCACTTGCTCCTAGGTTATGCCTTGTTCTGGTTGCACTAGTAGTGCTAGATCGTATCAGCGAGCGGAACTAACCTCTGAAACGCAGTGGATCTATCTCGAGATATATCAAAATTGGTAAAATATGACTTTCAGCGGAGACGGCTCATCCTGTCCCAGTACTTACCCTGAAACTATGAAGCATGGGCCTGAAGAGCGCACTACGGCTGAACTCTTATTATTGAATATACTAAAGCCCTAGGCCCCAACACGATACTCAACTCGGACACAGATTTTCAACCTCCATATATAGGTATAGATATCAGTATTTCTCATTCGAGTATCTATACTAAAGACCACCATTTCTCTAAGAGTCACTTAACAACTGATCTAACTCTCAATTCATCAAGGACTTCGTTACCGACGGGAAACAATTATTCGAACTTTTATTCAACTTTGGACAACTCACCCTGCACAATTGTTCTGACTTCTCTACACCCGAGGGCGAATAATATCATAGGATCCGCCCCTCATATTCGCCAATGGTAAGTCCAGAACAAGCCGCATGGAGATGCACCCAGTGTACCTTCTATCATAATACACTAGCATCAAAGGCTGTGAATGATGACTAGTTTCCCAAAGGAGAAACTGGCCAGGTCATTGCTATACGCTGAAACTAGCTGGCAGCACCTATGAGGAGGAACCTGGTCTGAATTTGCCACACTAGTAATGTGGGATAGTGTTGATAGATGGAAACCTCTCTTCCCCAAACGATGCAACAGTCTTATTCCCTGGATAACACGTATGCAAGCGGGTTTCTCGTCTACCCGAGATACTACCAGATTAGTGAGTGGCTTATTGTAAAACGTAAAGGTGTCGGTAAAAAGTCTCTATTGCCTAGAACCTCGATTCAGTCCTCGATAATATTTTTTGACTGAAATATACTATACTATAATGGTATAAAATCTAAATAAATAGATTGATGCTATACTTACGGACCATGTTTTGCAGTATTTTGTATTTTGTATTTTTGTGTATTGTACTGTAAATAAACTATACCAGGAACATTCAATGTGATGCCTATGTATGTACATACATACATACATACATACAGTACCTTAACCTTTAATTACAATTTTATAGAACATATGTACTAGTATGCAGTACTACCAAGTCTTCACTTACATCTACCAATCGGAGTACTTTGGTAGTTGGTAACCATGATAATTAAGCGAGGCTGGCCATCGCCCGGTCTCGTTCATCCGTGCCAAGATATCTAGTACTAGGAGTTAACCAATTGGCCACTGAAAATAAGCAGGGCATAGCTCAGAAATTTCCGCTATTTTGAGGTTCCATTGTCTCTTTTACAATGAGGATCTACTTAGATATATATTCTAGTACGATATATGAACACAGAAGAGTCTAATGGTCAGGTTTAGATGCCGAGTGTTATATATCCTTGCGAAAACTGAGTCTCTGTCTTATAGAAGGTGCCTCTCATCTGCTGTATGCTTGCGCAGCAGCGCACAATGTCTTAATTATCCGCACAGCCTCATTTAATATGTTACTTATTCAGCTAGCGATGGTCTGCATATTCAACAGATAGTTTTGGGGGCCAAAAAAAAAGTATATTATACACTAGCTATGGAAATCATATAAACTTGGTCAACTTCAAGATAAACTTCCTCGCGTACTAGTGTTGGCCCTCAGTCCTGCCACTGCCCAGTGTTCTAGGGCTTACTGTGGGCCAGATCGATCTGCCACTGCCAGAGATTGCAGACAATACCGGATGGCCAGAATCGTCAGGGCCGGGCCAGCGGCGCGGGGCGGCACGCCCATGGAGCCGGCCGAAACCATTCACCGTGTGTTATTGTCGGTGGGTCTCGGTAATTTCATCCGTCCGTTTAAGCGCTAATCTGCAGAACCTCCTTCACGACGCCCCATCAATACCAACGAGAGTCCGGGTTGCCCTCCCCCACCCTTCCACCGAGCTGTCAAATCCCCTTCTGGATGCTCTGAAAAACCTACTTGCGGGTATCCTCTCCGGCGGAACTGTAAGTCGCTACTTCCTAGCAACATACTTAGTAACCGTCTTAGCAAAAGCCACCTCTTCCCGCTAGCCTTCGTCGGCCTAAGAAAAAAAAAAAAAAATCAACACGTGCATTATTTCTCATTAGATGCGAGTATTTAAAAAGCATATGTACAGAGTTCAGATCCATGACGGATACCGCCAGCGTGGTATATGCCGTTGGCGAATACTTGGAGTTGCTGGGATTATGAGTCGATCACCACGTGGCTTTTCTTGTTTCTCTGAAGAGCGTGTCGACTGAACAGGGGTTTATTCATGGCAAATGGTATTTGACCTCGGCTAAATTTGCTGGTATACTTTTGTTCTAAAATAGGGTGGTGACTAGTGCTTACAGCTATGTTACTCTGAAGATGGACGAAATGCTTGACGGGCACACCACGTAGTATCTATGCCATAATGTCAAATGCCACGTTCACATTGACGATCGAATAACAAGAATACAATGGTTATAATTTGTCTGTATCAATTCCCACTGGCCCATCTACTCTGTATGTGTACGTAATAGAAGTATAAGCGCATGTATCCAGCCGGTCGGATCGCGAAGAGTCTACCAGCTCTCATAAGCCCACTGCGCCTGTGGCGCGGTGCTGTCCTGAAAACTACCTCAGTCTTCATTGGGTATCTCCATGCGATTGCCGACCCAGGCACCATGGCAAAGGAATGCTAGTTTGCATTAGGGCTGTCTTAGTCTGAGACGCGAACGGAATGTCGGAGATTAGGATATCGGCCAGTATCCGGGGAATCTTATTATTGTAATATCGGTATTTTACTCAGGAAATACTTCGAATCCTTCACTCCTTCGTTTGAACAACTCTCTTATGTCAGATAGGGACTCAGACCAGCAGAATCACTTATTTAGAGTGCTTCCATCACCATGGCTGAGAAGTTTCTTCTCTCGCATTTCTGTTGCCGGTGTTGAAAAAGCGGCAAGTTGTGCTTGGGTCTTTGTATTTATCTTGCTGCATCTTAGCCCACCGTGATATAAACTATCCCCTTTTGAGTCAACATGCGTATGCAAGTGGCCACTGCCGTGGCCGCATGGGCTGTCACCTCGGCCTGTCAGAGCCTGCCCATCACTCGGAACCTTTGGTCGCGCGATGCCGACTACAAGGATCTCAGCGAGAAGCTTTCCGTCTCCGCTAAAGTTTACTATCCTGGCTCGGATGAGTTCGAGCAGGCTTCCACTCGGTGGTCCAATTTGGAGAAACCCACCGTGAACATCGTCGTCGTTCCCGGCACTGAGAATGATGTCGTCGAGACGGTAAGCTTTGCCTCCTATGCCTTCTTGATCTATCTATCTTTTTCTCCTTCTGTTTCACATCTTTCCTTCGTCACACGTCATGTTCTCCCCACGCATGGCCCATGCATCTTGATTCCACCCACAGTCCACTGATGTCACTGTATAGGTGCAATTCGCCAACAAGAAGCAATTACCGTTCTTGGCCTACAATGCCGCCCACGGAGCCATCACCACACTGGGAAAGATGGACCGCGGTATCGAGATCTACTTGGACCAGCTCAGCGGTGTCGATATCGCCGAGGATGGCAAGACCGTGACTATTGCTGGTGGAACCAAGTCCAAGTTGGTGACCGACACGCTCTGGGATGCTGGCAAGCAGACGGGTAAGTCGATAGGAGGGCATCAAGACGACACAACTCAAAGAAAACTAATTCATCTACCTAGTTACTGGCGCATGCGAATGTGTCAGCTACCTCGGACCCGCCTTGGGTGGTGGCCACGGCTGGCTGCAGGGCCGCCACGGGCTTATTGCAGACCAGTTCGAGTCGATGAACATTGTGCTTGCCAACGGCACGCTTGTCACTCTGGACTCCAGCTCCGAGCTCTGGTGGGCCATAAAGGGTGCGGGCCACAACTTCGGCATCGTCACCTCTGTGACCTCCAAGATCTACGACGTCGAGTACAGGGACTGGGCCATTGAGATCATTACCTTCAGCGGCGACAAGGTCGAGGAGATCTACGAAGCTGTGAACACGCATCTCCTGAAGGACGGCAGCCAGCCCACAGACGTCATTAACTGGTCGTACTGGGTTAACGATCCCGCCGCGGATGCGACCAACGTGAGTCTACCCTTCCCCTCTTGATAATACCTTCTATCTCAGCAACTAATGATATACCACTAGCCCGTCATCCAAGTAATCATCATCCAAGAAGGCGTCCAGGCCGTTGACACCGCCTATACCGCCCCTTTCCACTCCATGGACCCTATCTCCATTGAGCCCCATAGCGGCAGCTACACCGACCTCGCCGAATGGGTCGGCGTCACCACGACCTCCGGACCATGCGAGAAGAACGGCGCCATGAACCCGCGGTTCCCCAGCTACCTGGAGACGTACAACGCGACCGCGCAGAAGCAAGCCTACGAGGTGTTCGCCGAGGCCGTGCGTGGGTCGTCCATCTTCAACGGATCCCTGGTGACGTTCGATGGATACTCCACGCAAGGCGTGAAGTCCATCGCCGCTGATAGCACCGCGGTCCCCTACCGTGACCAGAACATCCTCGTCGGGCCCTTGATCGCCTACATGCCCGGGGACGCCGAGCTGGACGAGAAGGCCGCCCAGGTGGGCAACCAGATCCGCCAGATTCTGCACGAAGGGTCTGGCCGCGAGCATGTCCTCGCGTATGTCAACTATGCCTATGGCACCGAGGGCCCCGAGGAGTGGTACGGTAGCGAGGAGTGGAGACAGAGCCGGTTGCAAAGCTTGAAGAAGAAGTACGACCCTAATGGGATGTTCAGCTTCTATGCGCCGATTGTTTAGTTACGAGGGTGAGCTGTGTATAGTACGATTTCATTCTTCTTGTGATATGTGTAAACTGTTGGCTAGTCGGGTCGCTAGATGGTGATTATAGAGCAAAGGGGGCAGGCAAGATATCTGGCTGCGAAGCAGACAAGTGCAGAGTGCACCGAACACACTAACAGCCCCTGGTAGTAATAGACCGGAAAATAGAACAAATAATAAAACAGTGTCATTCAGTATATACAAATGTGTTCGAAATCTGTGTAGGGTGGATACTAATCCCATAGACATAGACGAATGTGACAGCATGTACGGTTCTGGCTTGTTGACATCTCCCTTTCTCAACCACTATCCACCGCCCTGTTCATGCCTCAGCCCAATTTACTCACGTTCCAAGTTCCAGCAAGGTCATAGATGCCCATTACAGTTTCCTGGAGAATGAGAACACGCAGATAATCCTAACTAGACAGTGAGGGGGTTTAGCTACGGAAGACCTGGAGCAATATTCCTCTTGGATCTTATTAACAAAGGCGAAGCCAAGGCTAGGTAACAACACCAGGACGAAAGAGAATGCAGATACACCGATTCCATTCATTCCTTCAGGCCCCCCAATACCCGACTGTATTTCGATACTGGGTATCCAAACACTCAACTCGACCACGGACGCCGACATTGTTCCGGGGAACATACTCTACTCGTCAGCTCGGGACGAGACGAATTCACTAGGGCCTACCTCAACATATACGCTAGGATGGTGATCCTAGCTTCTCAACAAAATATATTCCATACTTCGAGAAGTCTGAGTGAGATTGTGTCAGCCAAGCTATTGCTCATGGCTTGGCCTGTCGATCGACGGTAAACTTGGGCCAATGGGTTCCTAAGCTTAGAATTGGCTGTTGGTCGTAGGAACCTGAAGTGACGGGAAATCGGACGGAGTACTTGGCCCACCGTAATTTCCGCCGCGCCGAAGGATTCTGGAGGTTGATTTACTTACTGTATCTGTATCAGTTAATTTGCATACTAGATATACGGTGATATACAGTAATTTGAGAGAATGTGTCAAGTGGGGGCATGTAATCGAGTTGCAAATAGTACTATGCTTCTCCGGTCCTACCGGAAATGATACTACATAACACCACTGTAATTTATATGTGTACAGATAGGTAAATACAGAGTGACCGTACTTTGATACTACCGTTCGGTCCCTGCATGTAAGACGGAACGTCGTCGGCTGTAACCCCTTACCTGCACGGGCATTTACCGGCCTCGAACCATTCGGCAATTCCGCTCTGTGGGTCGATGGGACTCTGCAGGTCGACGAAGCCCTCCGCGCATCCTGCGAAACCTATTTCTGCACCAATATGCTTCCGTCGCGCGAGGTCGACGGTCTCGAATTTGTCTTACATGTATGTACTAATTGTCTAGTCAAATCCTGCAGAACCCCCCTGCAATGGTGGGGGCGAGGGGTAACAGACACAGAGAAGTTGTATCAGTCTCTTTCGGGTAAGATGGGAAAGGGAAAGGGTTGTGTCCACGTAATGAAAATTAGTAGCAGTCGGCCGTTCTGTTGGCCGGTGTCACTTTCGGGGTGAGTGATTGCCGCTGGTCATACGAGGGACCAGGGTTCCTTTGCCCTTGTCTCAACATGGCCTGTCACGGTGGTCCGGAGATCTGAGGTATCGGAGAACTACGACTGAACCACAACTTAGGCAGCCAGATCGACTGTGACGCAAACTTAAAGTGTCGACAGTCCATGTATACCGTCCGTATTCATTGACTTTTGATCACACCAGGTTCACAATATTTCTTTTTGCGTATCATCATCGTCTGCTGCAATGGATACTACGACCCCTTCGCCACATTGGGGAAAGTTCCGCTACCTGACCCGGGGGGTCAAGCCAGCTCCAACAAAAGAAGCGTATCTACTTCCACCTCTGTCCGAGTTTGGTGACGTCGTTAGATTACCCCTCACCGACATGAAGCCCTCTTTAGATCTGGGAGACGAGTCCCCATACAAGCTCTCAGTCCATGGATTCACCGCTCGCCGACACCACTCCGCCCTGCATGCAGCTCCATACGACCGTAGTAGCTGGAACAATGAGCGTCTGCTGCGTGAGATCTACTTCCCCGAAGTACAAGAACTGGTTAAGAAGGTTACGGGATGTAAGAAGGTGGTGATATCTGCCGCAGTGCTACGCAACGAATTATACAAAGAAAGCGATGCAGCAGTGGCGGCAGCACACCCAGAAGAAAACGGACAAACCCTAACCAACAATCCCGAAGCGAAACTATTTCCCCCAATTGTCGGCAACTCAAGGGCAGATCCTATCTGTCCTGCCCCGAAAGTGCACCTTGACCTGACCCCAAAGGGTGCCAGGCTCCACATTCGCAAGTACCATCGCGAGGTGACGTCCGCGGCCGAGCGGGTAATCGAAGCGGAGAACCGGTTGCTGGAATCTGGCGTGCAATGGGATGACCTCAAGGACTTTTATGCAGGGAAGGAGGGCGGCGATGAGGGGGTGCCTAGATTCGCGCTTTTCTCTATTTGGCGGCCCTTGAAAACCGTCCATCGCGACCCCCTGGCTTTGGCTTCCTGTGCTTCTTTTCCTCAATCGGATTACGTGCCGGCGGACCAGTTGGAGCCCTTGGATATGCAGATTCCAGCTCATCTGTCGCGGATTATTGGGCCTAATGGCCAAGATGTTTCATCCAACGCGGATAATGGAACTTATCAAACGCAGGGCTATCTGGCCTATGCGCCACGGGATAAAGAGCAAAAGGCGCATGGCTGGCACTTCATTTCAGAGCAACAGCCTTCTGATGTCTTGATAATTCAACTTTTTGACAACGAGATGGAGGCGCATGCAAGAGCACCACAGGAAGGGGCCAATAAGAGGTCTAATTTGGGAGTCGGGGGAGCCATCCATAGTGCCTTCGAGTTGGACGGTCAGGATATACATTCTGAAGCTCGGGAAAGTATTGAAGTCAGATGTACAGCGGTTTGGTAAAGGATCTCAAAATTAAATCTGGTTGTCTGTTTTGGTCTATATTGAGTGCCATGTAGTTAGATGGGCATGCTGGATGAAGCGTTGAATTAACAAAAGCCCTCATTGACTGAAGACATTACACAAGGACACATAGTAGACCAGCGATCGCTCTCAAGCCGGTTAAAACTGAATGATGTACTACTCTGGAGATTTCCTTTCCGGTTTACTACTTCCTCTCCGTGTATCTGATAAATCACGAAGCTGGTATTGAATTGCCTGTACCTCTCTACCTTGAAGAGGGCATTTACTTACACTGACAGCCATCCTGATCAATAAGCCCAGTCGTCACCCAGCTTATATTCCTTCCGCTGAAATATATTATCCAGTATTTTTAATAAGAACAGGCAAGCTCAGCCTTAAGATATATTATTTTGCTAGTTAAACCAACAAATCTATCTAACAAAGAGCTGTACATATGTGCTTATTTCAGTTCGGCAGGCTCCCAGTTGGCCTGATTCCGAAGCGCTGCCCTAGAATAATAAACTGGGCCACGGTAATCGCGCGGCGGAGCGCCAAGGGTTCCTGCTTGTGAAAGGCGTTTTCCACAGCTTCTTCTGTAGCATTCCAGTCTAGAAAACCCAGACTTTCCACATTTTCCTTTGTGACCAGCTGCGTGATCTTTCGGTGCAACGGTCCACCGGGCCAGAACTTTCTTGGACCCATATAGGCTTTCTTGCTCATATTGTACACCTCGTCCGTGACATAAGGCCGCACCGCTTCTCGAAGAATATGCTTCTCGCGGAAGGATTTCTCCTTTGCATTGTACTTCATCTTGAGGCTCGGTGGCACATTGTTGACATATTCTGTCAGGTGATGATCAAGGAAGGGACAACGGCTTTCGACTTGATTAACCATGTCAATATTATCGCCGTTATACCGCAGGATGAAATGAGGCATGAAGGACTTCGTGAATATGTATTGAGCGGTGTGAAGAGGGTGCCACCGCTTGGCTATGTTGTCGCGGACATGCCCATTGACGCCCTCAATCAGACTCGTCTCCGGTATATTATCCCCGTACGAATTCGTCCAATCTGCGAATGGCAGACTGCCCACTCGTGCGATGGAGCTGGTCACGTGGCTGTGGTTGAGCATGCGCTGTGTGGCACTTGGAACCGTCGCGCTGTAGTCGCCGAAAATACCGTATCTAACTTGTTCTTTGGCGGTCTGTAGGGCTTCCTCGCGGTCGGGTTCGGCGAGCTGCAGCGCCGGCCATGAATGGTCGGGCTCGCTGAGGGAATCGGCCCGGAACGCATCATAGCCCGCAAAATGCTCATCGGAGCCCTCTCCTGCAGCAATATTAGAGGCGGCACGTTCAACTACGCTTCCGTGGATCACTCACCAGTAACCACAACCTTGATTCCCTGAGCGTGTACTGCTTCTGCCAGAGCCAACCGACCCATTCCGTTGAGGTCGGGGAGGGGGATTTCACTGTGCCACACAGCGTCCTCGAAGCGTGATACGAGAGCCTCTTCATCCATCTTAACAAACTGGATATCGACGCCCAGCCAGTCCGCTGTGCGCTGAGCAATTGCTGGGAATTGTCAGTAATCAAGAAATGCATGTTGCCCTGCGCGGTGATGGGGGGAATATACCCGACTCATCTGCACCGCTATCCTCATCGAACTGAACAGTGAAGCATTTCATGTTCGACGGAACCGAGTTCTGCTCGCTACCTAACTTCGTCCCCTGTCTCATGAGATCGGCCACCATCCCAGCAACCGATGATGAATCTATTCCGCCGCTGAGGTAGACAGCTACAGGCACATCCGCTTTCAGTCGGATTCTCACAGCCTCTCGCAGACGCTCCCTTACCCCTTCCACGATTTCCTCTTCCGAGCGCATGTCATGGGAAAACTAAGGAGCATTAATCATCACCACCTTGAAAAGGGATCGAGGTTTCTTACTTTATCCGGATACTCAAGATCCCAGTATGACTTCTGTTCTTCCTTCTCATTCGGTCGACAGACCAGATAGTGGCCCGGGAGAACCTATAACGTCTTAAAGAGCTGTCCAACATTTCGCTGATACACGAGAGACATAAACCCACCCTATGTACACCCTTAAAGAACGTGCGCGACTCAACTCTCCAGCTCTGGTCCCGCAGTGTCCGAACACACCATTCCGGCTGCAGGCCAAAAGCCAGGAAAGACTTGATCTCCGTCGCGACCAACAACTTGCCGTCGGCCACAGTATAGTAGAGTGATTTGATTCCATAACGGTCTCTGGCAGCGACAAGCAACTGGCGACTGGCATCCCAGAGCACGAAAGCAAACTCGCCCCTCAAATGAGACAAAAATGAGAGCCCATAATGCTTATACAAGGCAATGACGATTTCGCAGTCACTGGTCCCCGCAAACTCGAATTCGCTGGCCAGCTGCGCCCGATAGTACTCGTGGTCATATAGCTCTCCATTCACAACGGCATGAATGTTGTTTTCTTTGTCGTGGAATGGCTGGTTTCCACTGGGACTGAGGTCGATGATGGACAATCGGACATGGCCAAGGCCTGTTGTGGAGAGGCTGAGTATTCGTCCCAGGTAAGATGGGAACAAAGGAGAACCTACCCACTTGGTGATCGTCACTAAACCAGCGCCCGCGAGCGTCTGGTCCACGGTGGCCAACCAGATCCAGACTGTGCTCCAATTGCGCTACGACATGCTGGGCTTGGGCGTTGGTTTGCTGCTCCTTTGAGCTAGCGTGGCTCAGAAACGCACTGATTCCACACATGGTTATGAGCGTTATGATGAAGGGGAATGATAAATTGAGACAGAAACAGGCAAAATTGGCCTTTTATCATATATGTCCGGCCTAAATTACTACTAGTTACCACTACTCTCAGCTTAGGTCAGATAGATAATTAGAGAACCACCTACCTACTACCCCTCTATCTCGTTAGGTAACCAGGCACTGTAGGCTAGGGCCTTCTTAGGTTAGGCGGCTAAATCAAGAATCAGATCTTGTTCACTGCCAGATTGAGCCTTTCGCATTGATGCCTGCATTTACTAGTCCATACGGAAACCAACATTACCACATTGAATTGCACTTGGAAGATCAGTTGCATGGGTCTTGTATTCACTAGTATTGTCGAAATGTACTCTAACGTACCGAATGGTGGTATTACATGTGGGTACCCGACCCGCCGGCTGGGCGACCCCGGGGGGCAGCGGGAGGGCCCGGTGGGGGCTCGGGGTTCGCCTCGACGGTCCGTGTTCCGTGCTAATGGTCGGGAGACAATATTACAACAGTGAGAAATCGGATGTCCTCAGGGTTACATAGAGCCTCAAGTTTACGTAAAGCGTGTAAGAGAAAGTGAATTCCTAATCGGGTAGTTGGTATCAACGTTCTAGATGATTTACTCCAGAGTAATTCTAATTTTCTAAAGGACCTCAAGCGCTAAAAGTCTTAATTCTCTTTCCGATCCGCTGAAGGTAAGTCCATACGACAGATCTAAAGCCCAGGCGATCCTAATTTCAAGCTATTCGCGTAAAAGCTCCTGTCAAGACCAAGTTAAAATTTCATTCTGACCGTCAGAGCGTCACGAAATTCATGAAACTTTGAAATTTTGAAGACAAAATTAGGCATACCTAGGCAATACAGCATCATCTATCCCGGAGTCTCGCCGGCTTGGCTACATATGGGAGTGCATTGTAATGGATTACGAGTAGACTGCAGGGAATTGCGAGTACCCCCGCCGCGTCAGGCGTTCCGTGAAGAAATAATCCCTGTCAATCCTATAGTGGATGCCGGTGTATGTATGTCTCAGAACGCAGGATGCACTCCACATGATGGGAGGCGATGCAATCGGTTATGCCGTTGAGCACGCAAGTAGTGCATGTAGGGAAATAGCCACGCATGCAGAGCTTATGCGGGGAGTTACAATCAATACAGAGTGCCCATTTAATAGAGGGCTGAGTTGGCTAATAAACAGCCATGGGGGTCAGGAATTGATGCCGACTGTTGACTCACTTGTGGGGGTTTTGATCAATCTTTCTCATTAGTGCTCAATCCAGTAATTTTTATCTCAAAAGTCACTCTCCATGGCCGCGCTGTCCACAGTACCGTTGTTTCCCCCACACACTGGGACTCAACAGGACTCTCAAGATAGCGAGACGCAAATAGCCACCGTCAATGTTGCATGTAAAGGCCTAAATAGCAAGACTCTTGCCCGGTGGCTGCACGAGGAGCACAGAAGTCCCTTGGAACTTCTTCAGGCTGCGTGGTCACTTTCGCTTCGGGCTTATACAGGCTCTAACGATGTCTGGTTTAGCTGTCTGGATTCGAAAAGGTATGCAGTTCACAGTAGCTCTTGGAGTCTTAACTGACAGTTATATTTGAAGAAATTGCTACTCCCATGTTTCGCCGGCGCAGTCTGTGCAGAGCCTCTTCAATATACGTCGTGTGGAGTTACACGAGGAAAATAGCACAACTCGTCTGGGAGCCAACTCGGCTGTCTATGTTAATGAAGGACATGAAGATCAATGTAACGATGCAAGACTTTATGACCTTAGAGAGGTATTTGTTTGTCTGGAAGTAGACGATCACAAGCCATGCATTACTGACCGCTTTGATATAGTTTGATCTCACCGTTTATTTCTCCTCTGGGACAGATACACAATGCCCTAGCGTTGGGATTCACCACAAACCATCGGCCATTTCAACAGATTTGGCTACAATGATTGCAGCAACAGTAGCTAGGGCCACCGAGCAAATAGTCTTCAACGTTGACTCTCAGATCGAAGTTCTCGACATATGTAGTGATGCAGACATCAACCGTCTATGGCAATGGAATAGCACATCAGGTGATGAAATATCCCAAGGGCACTGCATACATCACATAATCTCACAAAGATGTGCTGCACAGCCAGAGTCAATTGCTGTGTCAGCCTGGGACGGGCAGCTTACCTATGCAGAGTTGGATAGCTTGTCGTCAGCTCTAGCAATACGGCTTCAACACCTTGGCGTCCGCCCAGAAACTTTCGTCCCCCTTGTATTTGAGAAATCAAAATGGGCAGTCATCGCACTGTTAGGTGTCTTGAAAGCTGGCGGCGCTTACTTCTTTCTCGATCCTTCCCATCCAATAGAGTATAGCCGCAGCTTGTGCTCATCGCTGTGTCCCGAAATTGTGGTATGCTCACAAAGGCAGAGCACTCTTGCCAAATCCTTCGCTGGCAAGATCGTCCCACTTGGAGGGGAACCATGTGAGCTTCTGGACTCATTCCCAGTGGATGAAATACCACCACAATTGACAGCAGAAACAAGCACTTCAAACGCCATGTACATAACTTTCACCTCTGGGACCACCGGTACGCCGAAAGGCATAATCACCGAGCATTCCGCCTTTTACTCCATGGCCATGGCCAATGGTAAAGCACTCCATGTCACAGCTGCAACGAGGATGCTACAATTTGCATCGTATACATTCGATGTGAGCAACCGCGATATGCTCATCACTCTCATTTTTGGCGGATGCATCTGCACCCCTTCGGAGAGTGAGCGTATTAATGACCTCTCTGGGTTCATAAATCGCCAGTCTGTCAGCTTAGCAAGCCTGACGCCGTCTATGGCCAGTACCCTGACTCCTGCTTTATGTCCAAGTCTTCAAGGGTTGGTCCTGGGCGGAGAGCCTATGACCGATAGCCACATCTCTGCTTGGGCCAACCACGTGAGGCTTTTCAATGCCTATGGGGTGAGCGAGAGTACCGGGATAGCAGCGTTGGCATCGGACATTCAAGTAGGCTCTTCCCCAGGCAATGTAGGTTTTGGGTGCGGATCAACATTATGGGTCGTTGCGATTGACCAGCCCGACAAACTGGCACCAATTGGCGCACTGGGAGAATTGGTCATTGAAGGCCCATCCGTTGCCCGTGGCTATCTGGGCGACGAAAAGCGGACAGCGAAGCAGTTCACCTCAAATCCAGAGTGGAAGAAAAGGATTCATGAACAATTCGGCGAGACTCATTCCGGGAGGCGGGCCTTCCACACGGGCGATTTAGTGCGGTACAATCTCGACGGGTCGCTGCATTTTTTGGGAAGAAAGGACCATCAAGTGAAGGTTAACGGACAGCGACTAGAACTGACGGCAATTGAACATCACATAGCGGCCTGTGCTGAAGTCGCCAACTCCGGCTTTCTTCATACAGCCGTCGTCGTTGCTAAGAGTAAGACAAATGGATCCAAGCTTCTCGCCTTTCTGGGTCTTGATACGACTAGGGAGTTAAATAGTCCGTCCCAAATAGTGTCAAAACAGTTGAAGGATATGGAGGCCCTGAAAGCAGACCTGAAACGATACCTTCTGCATTGCTTACCGGCATATATGATTCCAGTGGATTTCATATTTCTGCAACACATGCCACTCACGACTTCGGGCAAAATCAATCGGCTCCGTCTACAGGAAACAGCTGCATATGTGTTCTTCGATGACCAGAAAGGGGCTGCTGATGCAACCAACTCAAATGGTAACCAAATCACAACCACACCCAAAGAGAAAGTTCTTATCGAGTCTTGGACCAAGATTCTAGGCATTAAAAATGCAAGCATCACGCGCCATAACTGCTTTTTCCGGAGAGGCGGTGACTCAATTGCAGCAATCAAAATGGCTGCGAGCCTTCGTCAGGAAGGATTTATTATATCAGTGTCTGATATTTTTAAATCTTCGACCCTGTCGGACATGGCGTCAGTGCTAGTCGAAGACAATAAGCTTTCCTCATCAACAGTACCTACCCCTTTTTCATTGATAAACAACTCCCACTCTATACTCGATGCGATTTCGGAAGAGCTCGGTATGGGCATTGACCAGGTCGAGGATGTGTACCCATGCACGCACATGCAGCAAGGCTTGATAGCTTTGACGGCGCAAAACCCTCATGCATATATTGGTAGCTACACATGGCAGCTGGCCGATACGCTTGAGGCGGAGAGATTTAAGAATGCATGGAAGGCGGCTTGGTTCCACAACCCAATCCTTCGTACCAGAGTCGTGCAGACACCGGACGGTGTCTTTCAGGTTGTGATGAAAACTGATATGCCGTGGAATACTGTCACGGATATCACCGGTGAGAAGGAAATCAAGGAAATTGATATTAACCATGGCCCACTTATCCAATTTTATTTCAACAAAGAATCGTTTCGGTTAGATATCCATCATTCTTTGTTTGATGAATGGTCCCTTGACCTGATCTTGGGACAAGTTGAGCGCGCATACGCCGGGGAGAAGCTTCATACGCAGCCATTCAGTCCATTCGTTCAACACCTCCTCCATGAACATGATACTACCACGGAGGACTTTTGGCGTCAGGAGTTTTCTTGCCTCCAGGCCGAGCATTTCCCAGCTGGCGCTTCCAGCCCAATCAACGTTGAGCAGGCGACAGAGAAGGCAGTCCTAGAACATAGCCTGCAACATGATATCGGAGTTTCGACCAAGTATACACTCTCATCCGTCTTACGGCTTGCATGGGCGATCGTTCTATGGCATCAAACGGACAGCGAGGACGTGCTATTTGGAGCCACTGTCAGTGGCCGTAACGTGAGCATTGATGGAATCGATCAAATTAGTGGACCAACCTTGGCGACACTACCTGTGCGCATCAAACTGCCAACGAACCAGCCTGTTCACGAGGGCTTGTCGCAGGTTCAAAACCAATTCGCTAACATGATGGTATATGAACAAACTGGATTGTCGCGTATTCGACAGGCTGGGAGAGAACCTGCTGAGGCATGTAGCTTTCAGAATCTACTCGTCGTGCAGCCGTATGAGCAGCAAACCGCATCTGTTATGTTCAAAACGTCAGCCAACTCAGCATCTTCTTCTGAAAACGCGAAGGCCTTTTCTAGTTATCCGCTTGTGTTGATATGCCGTCCAGAAAAGAGTGGAGTAAGCATGAAAGTAATATTTGATCCTGCTATTATAGCACCCGCCGCCGGACATAGTATTCTTAGACAGATGTCGCATGTTATCCAGCAGCTTATGACTTCCGACTCAATGCGCATCACAGATGTTATCATGGTACCTCCGGAGGATATGGCTTTGTTGAGAGAATGGAATCATTTTCTCCCGAAAGCTGAGAACACTTGCATCCATGATCGCATTCGGCAATTATGTATTGCCCAACCTGAGGCACTGGCTGTTCACTCCAACGACTTGGACCTCACATATGCGCAGCTAGAGAATTACTCCGATCACTTTGCGCAGCATTTGATAAGCACAGGGATCAAGCAGGGAGACTTTGTACCCCTCTTATTAGAGAGGTCACCCTGGGTTCCAGTTATCATGCTAGCAGTTCTGAAGACTGGCGCTGCTTTTGTGCTACTGGACCTTTCACACCCTATTCAGCGGATGCGAACGATGTGTTCTATGCTTGATGCCAGAATTGTGGTTTCCTCCAAGGAGCACACCCATATGAGTGACGATCTTCTGCTTTCTGTCATCAACTTTGACCCAAAGGTTTATGTACAGAATTTGGGTAAGCAAAATATAGCCTCGGCGTCCCAGCTACCGGATGCAGTCGTCACCCCAGATGCCCCTGCATGCGTTGTCTTCAGCTCAGGCTCTACCGGGCTACCTAAAGGCATTGTGCTTCACCATAGTGCTCTTGTCACAAGCGCAGCTGTCATGCGCGACCACGGAATGCTTGCCCCTACCAGTCGCGTCTTTCATTTCGCCTCCTTCGCGTTCGACATCAGCATTGGCGAGATCCTCTTCACCCTTGCCACCGGAGCATGTGTCTGTGTACCCTATGAGGAGGAAAGAAGGGGGAATCCCGCAAAAGCAGCAAGTGACCTGCAAGTAACTTGGGCACTTCTGACTCCCTCTGTGATTAATCTGTTCGACCCATTGGATGTCCCCACTTTAGAAGTCTTGGGGTCGGCCGGTGAGCCTCTTACTCCACACATCGTGAACGTGTGGGCTCACAGGGTGAATCTCTTCGGGATGTATGCACCGGCAGAATGTACCGTTATCTCTCATATCGGGCGAATCTTGCCCGACACGCATCACTCCAGCATTGGCCGAAGCCCTGGAGCAGTGTCTTGGGTAGCTGATCCATCCGACCACAATCGGCTGGTCCCTATCGGCACAGTCGGTGAGTTGATCGTCGAAGGCCCCGTCGTCTCGTCTGGGTATCTCAACGACCCAGAGAAAACAAACAAAGTCTTCATCACCAGTCCCCCTTGGCTTACTGACGTCCGTTCCTACTCCGGAAGACTGTATAAAACAGGAGACCTCGTCAGACAGACTTCAGATGGCTCACTTCTATTCGTCGGAAGGAAAGATGATCAGGTAAAGCTGCACGGTCAGAGACTTGAAGTGGGGGAAGTCGAACATTGCATAATCTCCTCATGCACAGCCATCAGAACCGCTGCGGTTGAGTGTATCAAAATTCCGGAACAAAACAACCGCGTCTCACTGGCTGCATTTATTTGTCCACAAACCCATGGAGAATGGGGGAAATCCTTGAACGCTGAATCTGGTGTGGAATTGGTTGGGCCACCAAGCGACCAGTTTTACTCGACCATCCAATCCTTGGAAACATCTCTAAGAGAGCTACTTCCGGCATACATGGTTCCATCCTTCTTTATACCGCTTGCTGATGTTCCCCTCACTTTGTCAGGGAAGGTGAATCGACGTCTACTCCGAAATCAATCCACAAGTTGGCCACTGAAGAGCCTAGAACAATACCAACTGAGAAACAGGACTTCTCTCGCCGAAGAAGTTCCTATCACGGCGCTTGGCCGGGAAATTCAAGAGATCATTGGCCAAACGCTCAATCTGGATATTCAATCAATACCCATGAGCAGTAACTTTTTTGGCATGGGTGGAGATTCAATCTCAGCTATGCAAGTCTCCATGCTTGCAAGACGCAGAGGGATACTCCTCCCCGTTGCGGATATTTTCACGGAACAAATTCTTTCAAGAATAGCTTCAAAGTGCACTAGAGATGATGAAGACACCAACAAGATCTCTAGAAGTAAACTATCTGGACCATCCATGAACCAATCACATCATCGTGACCTTGCTTATGAGAAACTCCTTCGTCGTTTGCCGCAGGAGGTTGCCGATAATATTGAGGAAGCCCTGCCCGCCACTGAATTCCAAGCGATGACGCTTCGTAACTTCTACAGCCGATATCTATGGATCTCACTGCCTGGTGAAGTTGATCAGGACCAACTACTGAATGCATGCAATCAGCTTGTTCAAAAGCACTCCATCTTGCGCACTGTGTTTTACACAAAGGATGAAAAGTCGGTCGTACAACTGACCTTGCGCAAAGTCCACGTCAGCTTCATTCGTTATGAGAACATCGAAGATTTGGACGAGCATTGCGCAGATGATTCTCTTGCCATGGAAGTACCTATAAATGGCGAGCCAGGATTTCAGGTACAGCTCCTGACCTTGAGGGACGCAGGGAAATTTCTAGTTCTGCGATTACCCCATGCACTATTTGATGGACTTTCATTGGACATCATTTGCAGTGATCTCAGTTCTGCATACGGCGGAAAACCACTTCCACCTTGTGCTCAGTTTTCGAACCACGTTCGACATGTCTTGGAGAATAAGACCCCCGAAACCTACAACATATGGAAAGAAGTACTGGGAGAGGCCCCAATGACCAGTCTGAACAACAAGTTTTTGAACAATTGGATCCGACTGGGCGAAGAGGAGAACCCACAAATGGGCGCACATTCGGAACAGCCAAGAGTGGTGACGGCAATAGCAGAGACTGTCCCAATCTCCCCTCCGCCCAATACCACCATGGCAACATTGGTCAAACTGGCGTGGGCAATCACACTCTCCCGGTTATTTACCTCAACTGAAGAAGAGGATGGATGCAAATATGGCCTGAACGATGTTGTTTTTGGCCAGGTCGTACATGGCCGAGGACTGGGACTTACCCATGAAGACCGCATTGTTGGTCCATGCCTCAACATCATCCCTGTGCGAGTTCACTTTCCTCTGAAATCAAATAAATTTGAGCTTCTTGCCCAGGTCCAACAACAGCACATTCAAACCATGCCTGTTGAGAATCTTGGGCTTGAAGAAATTGTCCATAATTGCACATCTTGGGAGTCTGGAACAAAGTTTGGCAGCTTTGTGAGGTTCCAAAACTTCACCAATAATGACGACTCGACCTGTTCCTTTGATGGACATACCTGCGAAACGGGTCTCTATAGTCTTCCGAATCGACCATCTGCCACGGCCAATGTACTTGTTGTCCCTCATGGGTCCACATTGACAATCACCATGACAATATCCAATCAAGTATTGGATGCAGAGTCTGCAGATTATGTCGTAGGGTACTTCAGTGACGTGATCGGAAGCCTGGCAAGTGAAGAGACGGACTGCGAGTATCTTGTGTGATCTATTCGTTGATTTCCTTCACTGTCTTCATTCTTCTTGAAATGGTTATAGAGTAAAGTGGAGAGTATTGCGAATGTTGGGTCATTTGCGTGCTGTCTATGCATTTATTGGATGTGACAGACCCATAGATCGCTGCGACAACCAGTAGACTGCCCTTGTTAGTATCTGGTTAACTTCAGCTCCCCCTGTATACTGACCAATGCGTACTTGTAATAATTGATGCTTCCCTTGCATTTCTTCTCTCCTTAATATATTTCGCCGCGTAATTCGCGAATATCCTCTCGTAGTCTTAGGTAGCAGTCTCCGCATGTCTAGTCTGAATCTTCTGGTGCAAATGTTTGTGTCTAATTCGTCGATTAGTGGTGGTTGATGTGGTGTTGGTTCCAGAGTCGAGTCTCGGCTGCCTCGGTTGCAGCCGCCCGCTCGATTGGGGCCCTTAGGCATTGCCCTCGCGGGGGGCTAGCTCACTATTTGCTAATTTAATGCCGTGGGACCACGCGATTTCACTTAAATTCGCAGCCAATCTCTTCCTCTTCACCCTGATCTTCTACCACCCTAGACTCTCCAGTTTTCCCTAGAATCATGACTCGCACTCACTTCCGTGTCGCCATTCTCCAGAATTACCCAATTTCAGCAGAAGGTGGTGAACTTATGCTTGAGAATATCTCAAAGCTTATCCACAACTCGAAACCCAACGTCGCAATCAACGTCTACGCACCGATCCAGGGCGACCCATTCCCTGACCTAGATAATTATGATTTAATAATTCTCACCGGAGGCCCATTTAATCTTCTAGAAGATGAGAAACCATCCTGGGTAACTGAAACCTTGGAATTCATCAAAGCCGCCACCACAGATCGGGCGACGCCAAAGCTTCTCGGTATCTGCTGGGGCCAGCAAGCGATTGCGTTAGCGCTTGGGGGCTCTATGGGAGAACTAAAGAACGGGCTTTGTGTAGGAGTCCTCCTGTATACACACAAAGAATGACTAAAGCTAATCAATATGTTAGATGGGCGTTGAGACCATTCGGTTGACACCTGATGGTGCCAGATTCTTCAATGCGAAATCACTGGTTTGTGCCCTACACAAATCCAGAAATGCAGAGCTAACTTCCGTAGGACATACATAAACACCACAAACTTGCTGTGGTCGACATAGGCCCTCGTCTTTCTTGCTTGGCGCCCAACAATGAAATTCTCTTGTCGGATGATAACCAAGTCCTCACTCTTCAGGGTCACCCGGAGCTGGATGCTACCCTCTCCCAATTGCTTATGGATCCAGATAGTCCGCCTGCTTCGGTTCGACCTGGAGTTGAAACGGACATGAAGCCTATTGATGCGCCTCATGATGGCGATGTGATTTTTGCGACAGTCATGAAATGGGCGTCGGGGGATATCAGCCTATGAACAACCAACTATTCAGGTTGACGAAAAGCCCGGGGGGTATTGTACAAGGTTCAAAGGAAAATGCTTGCGCTAGCTGCGCTATTGTATATACTACTAGACAAGGACTCTGGGCCGCGACAGCGGCATCCTCAGCTAAATCACATCTCTGAATTTGGTGGTTTAACTAGCGTATATGCTTAAGCTTAATATACAAAAAAGTTTAATTATTATTTTGCCTCACTATTCTTACAATAACTTTAATTATGTGTCAGGAGGCATGCTCCTGTCTTCTTTATCCTTATAAGGCCAATTGCGCCAACAGATCTCCCGTTGGCCCGCCTCTGCTTGCCTAACCATCTCCATTCGAAACTGGCGATTGCCCTCCACTGCCCTCTCAAAGTCATCCGGCTCGGTCCCGCCTTCCGGGTCGATATTGAGGTGTTCTCGAACCCGCGACAGGAGCTGTTCAGACTCGTTCCACTCTTGTGATTCCGCTAAAGCAGCTTCTCATTCTTCATCGCTGAACACAACCGGACAAACTGCGGAGGAAATTTTACTCCATACCGAGGGAGTTGTGATGCCTACTAACGCAGTACGTAGGTTGATTACGTCTGCATCCCAGGGGTACCCTGTTTGGCGTAGGAGATACTGCTGCATTCCGAGATAAGGAGTTTTCAACACACGCATGTGCTCATCGTTATGTACACCTGTCGCGGCTGTATAGTAGAGATTGGCCTCTTCCAAGCGGAATGCGGCTTTGGATTGTCTCTGTTCGTCGATATCCATCTTATCGAAGTCATCGGGGAGGGATGGAATATGCAGACTTTGAGGCTGAGAGGAGTCGTGCTCACAAAACGCGGGATAACCTGCTTGCATGAAGCGTGGGAATATCGCGGCATCCTGCCAATCAATAATACTGATGATTTTGGACGATCCTGGGGCTAATAAAATATTACTCAGGCTTAAATCGGGATGTCTTAGTGTTGGAGCGCTGTAAGAACCCGGTGGGATTAAATAAGGCGCCAACTGTAGGAATCGCGAAAGTAACGAGCTGTGCTCAGAGGGCTCGATGTTATAGTCAGTTGGTAGAAGGAATGTCTACCGAGGCTGAGCTTTTGCGTATTGCTGAATGACAGCCATCTCTCGGCGAGCCGCGGAGGTAACACAGTCCACGGGTGAAAGCCCTACGGGAATAATCAACCCAGGTCATGTCGGTTATTTGGGGAAGAGGGAGAACTTACAGGGCCCACGGTCGATTTCTGTTTTGCTTCGTTCGCCATGCCAAAACTGCCGGGTAGACACAGGGCCAACAACAAAATCTTCCACAATTGGTATTTGGGTTTCTTCATCAAGGTCCTTCTTGTGATATAAGCTTCCGTACGCAGGAAAACGGAAGTCAAAAATTTTCCTCTCCATATCTGCGATTTGAGTCATGATGTCTTTCACCTCATCGGTTGTGAGAGATAGCCACCGCGAAGAAAGACTCTCCCCCTCAACTCGCTCCATCAAAATATACTCTGCTCCGACGGGATTGTCCGAGGTTTTTGAATATGTAAAGACCTCAGGTACTGGCAGTTTGAGAACGGTTCGCAGAAAGTCCATTGTCGCAACTTCACTCGCGGTTGTGTAATGAGCGGGCCCTGCAATGGGAGTGGGAATTCGCGCAATCACTTCACGTCCATTCTTTGCTCGCAGAATAAATATTTTGTTAAAACCTCCCTCTGCCAGCTTAGCGATATCAGGATAATCATCTTGTTGCATTGCTTCACCGGCGATTCGTTGAAGCTCACTTGGTCGAAACTTGATATACCGTTCGCTTAAACGGTCGGTCTCGTTGAATCTGGCTAACAATTAGTAACTAAGACCAAAACCGTGATAGAGTTAACATACATCCATCGTCGTGAGGTATTTCGAAAGAATTCTTCGTGGAGAGCACGTGGGCTGGTGGATAAGTGATGGCGGGAAACAGATATGGCAGGCTGCTTGTAAGAGAACCACTGTTTGCGGAGACAGGGTAAGGTTGGTGTGCTTCGAGCAATGGTGAGCCTCTGAAGAAAGTTTACCATTGTTCAAAAACAATAGGAGAGGGAAGTCATCCAGCTATACTTTTCAGGGTCGGACCGTCGTCGGACGGGAAGTAATGAGGTTGGTCTGGAAGGCTGCCAAGCAAGTAGGCCCCAGTACACTCAGGCTACATCCCTGCCTTAACTATTCCAGACCACCTCTGGTAACTACCGCTTTCTCTTATCCAGATGGATACAACAACATTCCCGACCAGGATCTAATAGATTTATATAGACTGATCTAGAAAGTATTGCACCCTCTAGAAACAAAGATTAACAAAAGATTAATTACAATAGATATAGATATAGAAAAGGCTATTGAAGAAAATAAGAGAAATTTATGAAGTAGATAGCATTGGCGGTCTATTCATGAGGGAGACGCAGAGCCCCTGCTAAATCAGAGGCTTATATAGATCCTTAGAAATGTATTGTTTACTGTGTACAGTTGATTCTTAATCACCTTTACTATAATCTATATATAAAATAGTTCTCCTCGTGCAGTGATCACGGGGTTACCTGGACTGGGCCTCCAGGCGCTCACTCTATGGCAGCAATTGAATATTCTTCGATGGGATTCGAACAAGGTTTTCTCACAGATTTCTGTCAAACGAGGGTAGTTTCAGTCTCCTTTTCTTTGGCCCTTTTGAAAGTATGCTTTTATCTGTTTCCGTTGTGCAAGAAATGCCCTGCGAAAAACACCGTTCAAGCATAGACTTCTGTCATACAGATTCCGGGGTCTTCCAGCTTGAGACTTCAGTTGTTGGGTTTAGATTGAAGAGTAAGGCTATTCGAATATCAATCGTACTGCGAGGTAATGAAACTTCGAACTTATTCACTGCTGAAAATATTATACCAAAATGTACATTGTGTCATTCAAAGTTGCACTGGAAGAAGTCCAGGGCATTACTTGCACACGGATCTTATCAGATCAGATCATTGATTGTATCTATGGTCACCATATCCCCGTTCATGTACGGAGAACTGCACTAGAAATGTCCGAATCCCGTATTAATTACCTTGTGAGATAAGCCACTCAGGAGGGGAAAAAAGTGTCTGTGCTGAAGAACTAGTGGGAATCGCCGATCTTCTTCAGGCGGATTGGTTCAAGGGATGAGAGCTGAACGCAGATCACTGGAGTTTTTTTCCGTTCTTTTTGTTCCTTTTTCTTTATTTATCTTTTTGTCCTCTTTTGTGTCATTTTGCCAAATTCTACGAGTAGCTGTATACTTAATGATTTTTGTACTACTATATGTAGAACAATAGTGAGGTGAATTGCATTGCATTGTGAGAGTATGTACACTCGAGTAGGGCTACATGAATGACTCGTTGATGCGAACTCCAAAGCTGATTGTGGATAAAGTTTTGTCCCAATGTGGGACCCAATGACAGTGAGTTAACATGTGATTCTTGGTCGACGACAAAAAAAAAGAAAAGATTCAGGTTTTCAGCCCAGCCACCTGGATTGACAACTAAATACGACCTTTTCGGCCGCGACACGCATCCGGCGAAATGCACGCTGACGTGGTCGGCAGCATTCCGGAGGGGCCGTCGATGAACATGAACATCTAAGAATATGCCCACCACCGATTGATTTCTTTACAACTCGATGCTGATAGAGATCAAGAATTCAACCTCATGTCCATCCCCACAGTGAGACGAGCCTTTGGCTCGATTCCGAAACAAAGAACGCTCCAGTCCGTTCGAGGGCTATTCCAAATCCAGATTCTCGCCCTGCTACTGCGAATCGCCATCTCAATCATCCTTCTGCCACTGGATAACACCATCCTGTTTGCCACGTGCCTTCTCGGTCATTTTTCTGTTTTCCTCTCGCATTCTAATCCAGTTCATCGCCGCCAGGCCGTGCGACGTGATGTTCAATTCTACCCGAAAACCATCCTCATCTCCGGCATTGACACCCCTTACGGGCTGGCCTTGGCACGATGTCTGTACTATCACGGCCATCGGGTCGTGGGTGCCGACATCACAGAGTTCCCGTTCGCATCGGGCGAAGGCATGTCGAAAACGCTAGCGACGTTCTATCGCATCCCGCGGTCGCACTATGTGTCCCGCCTGCTCGACATCATCCAAAGGGAGAAAGCCGATATCTGGATCCCTTGCTCGTCACGGGCGAGCGTTCTGGAAGACGCAATGGCTAAGCAGGTAATTGAAAGTCGAACTGCGTGTAAATGTATCCACCTGGACACGGAACTGGCCAATCGCTTTAGCGACACAGAATCTTTCACACAGTATCTCGTCGAAAAGGAGTTACCCGTGGTAGAAAACTACCAAGTGCAGTCGCGTGACTCAGTACACAAGATCTTACATCGGTCGCCGAGCAAGGTCTACCATATGCGCCGACCAGATGTTGCCGTGAGCGACAACAAAGTCGTCATTTTACCGAAGAGGACCCTCAGCATGACGTATTCGGAAGTCAGCGAGATCCAAATCTCAAAAGATCGGCCATGGGTTTTGCAGCAACAGGCTCGGCTAGGAGAGTTCTTCGCTGAATTGCTGCTTGTTAGCGGACAAGTTAAGGCTATTAAAATTCGGCCAGCCGACCACCAACCTTGGGGCCATTCCCGGCTAGACGAGGGGCTTGCATGGGCAATTCACCGACTCATGGACCGTTTCGCATTGAAAGGAGGCCATCGGATGACTGGCCATCTATGCGTGCGGTTACTGGTCGACGAAGAATTCGATGCTAACAATGTGCGCTATGTAACGCATATTGCTGGCTGCACTCAAGGGACGAATGCTGTTAAGCATCTTCTGCAAGAACCATCACCTTCGTTAATCGATGGATACTTGGCGGTTCTCTTATCGCAACCCGACGATACGTCCACGGACCTAACCAGAAAGCGGATACAAGCTAGAGCAAGTATATCGACGATCTCACAACGCCAGTTCAGCTTCTATGAGACGCTTAAGCAATGCGATGTCCGGAGAGTGCTCCCCTCTCTTTATCCGGTTGCCCAACAATTGGACCATTTCGTCGGCCAGGCAGGCGATTTCTTATTATTCTGGAAGGACCCTCGTTTCTCGGTCCTTGATCCGCTGCCGTGGTGGTGGAATGCACATATCTATCAACCGCTGAAAGAGTTGGAATTGGTATTGAGTAGGAAAGATGTCAAGAGACTGTAGGAGTACCCACTTGGGTACTTCCCCTCTTTCCCACACCTTTCTCTTTCTTTCCTTTAGCTTTCCTTCTCTTGTCTTTTCAAATGTTTGTCGTATTATTCACCCTTCCCTATCTGGAGATCTTTGGGGTATTGACATAATGACCTCGGAGGGTATTATAGAGAGCGCCGGGTGGTGTCTTCAAGAATTATTATCATTATTGCATGTTGTCATGAACACATAAAATGGACGAACACCTTAACGAACTGATGATACAATACGAAAAATGGAATTTATTTGATTTGGATAGGTTCCTGGCTTATCAGTACACCATTTAGCAATCTACATGCAACCCGCCTCCGCATCGGGGACAGGGTCTAAATCTAAACCCGATCTCTACAAGACACTTTGACCACGCACTCATGCAGCTCAAGGATACTGTCATTCTCGAAATTGCCTTGACCAGTATACACTGAGAATCTCTTTCCTGACCCTTCTGCCAAGTCGTTAGCGCAGATCCCTTATTGAGCTAACTACATCAAATTGAGGGGCGCAATAAAACACGCTCTGTACTGTATCTTATATTACCCTTCTACATAAAATTACAATATGCACGTGCAACGCATATCATGTGGGGAGGGACGGCTTTGGTACCCAGTAAGCTGATGATCTTCTGGGTGACTTTGAGTTCCCTCATCCTATGCGGTGTGTGCTGGTCATTTAGCTCAGAGAACATCAACAAGTGATATCATCGGCAAACGAACCGTCCTGGCCTGTCTGTGGTTGTTTGTAGGCAAATAACACCCTTACTTGACCCTAAAAATTCTCAGGGGTTTCTTACACCGTCAACACGCGGTTCTCCATCGACCTTGTGTTAGTCAATGCCACTTCTAATCCATTTACGTGGCTCGTCATACGAGACCATATCAGCAAGCCTATTTTATCTACAGCCATAATGCTGCATATCCGGCCTTCGGCGTGGGGTTAGGGTAAATGAAGCCAACTACCTACCAACCTACTACTTCAGTACCTTAACTATGCAAAGGAAGTCTCTCAGATGCCCCCACATCTGCTCAAACAAGGCTGTCATTGTGAAGGGCAAGAATAGGTGCATGAAATCTGGGGGAATCCATATATAGCTGCAGGAACAGTCTTAGAGGGTAAGGGGGACAGGGAGGAGAAGGGTGGGAGTGGTGTGAAGGTCAGAGAAGCGGTTTAAACCACGTGCATACTGTGCTGCATGCGGTTTATACTGCACTGTATCTATCTGATTTCGACTTCTACTCTATGGCTTGATCACCTATTTTATTTAGGAGCATGACCGATGGCCCTGTTGAACTCTATGATCCATTCCTTGCAGCATTGCATCTTCGTACATTGCCCTATGACCCCATTGGCTTCTCGTCTATCCAAGTAACGTTTCTTGGTCATTTTGAACTACATTCTAAGCTTCAAGCGTCAAACCAGACCGCCTACCGAGCGTCGTATTTATATTTTACCCGTGATTCCGTGCTATTCAGGACTTGGCACTTGATGGATGGTGGAGCACAAGGTCAGCCAACAACCAAGATGGCATGGAATAAGCAAGGACAAGAAAAACCATTGCATCACAAGATTACCGAGCATCTTCTTCAACACTGCAACAGATCGCCAGAGCCACAGTCTGTCTTCATGAACAAATGCTTCTTTACATCGTACGGAGAAGATCGAGCGGATGTGCTTAGATTCCAGTGTAATTTTATGTAGCGGGGTAATGAAAGATACACTACAAAGCGCGTTTTATTGCGCCCCTCAATTAAACATAGCCAGTTTAATAAGTGATCTGCGCTCACGACTTAGGCAGTAGGTTTAGGAAAGAGATTCTCAGTGTATACTGGTCAAGGCGATTTCGAGAACAACTGTATAGGTCATCTCTACAACCTGATTCGTTGGGATGTTTCTTCCAGGGTTTCTGGGATCGCTTCAGGTGATTCCGTGATTTAATCCCTTTTTCTTTGCATTTTCGAGCCGTTTGATTTGTAGGTCAGCCCAGCGAAAACGTCTGGTAGAGGGAAGATATTAGCAAAATGTTCTGCTGAGAGCAACAGAGTGCATGACAATACCTTGGTTCCTTTGTGTCCAATAGCTTCGCCAAAATTTGATCATGGACCCCCTTTTCTTTTTTCCATCTGCTCAGCTTTCCATGATCGAGTGCATTGCGGACAAAAGCCTCGACGTCATCATTCATTCGGTCTTCAAGATCTATTTTGAACCCCTCCTCTAGGTGGCAGCGAATATTTTCTTCGAATCGACTTGTTGCCAGAAGATGGAGGTTTTTCCCGTGCTCGCCAATGAGACCCTTCAGAACCTGAAACAGTAAATCCCTCTCCTGAATCTCGTTATCAGGACATTCGTCGAGGGCGTCAAAAATTATAAATAAACGATCTACCTTATGACTGTTAATGACACCATTGAGAACTGCTGAGAACTCTTCTTGGTCTGGTTCACGGCCTTGACGGCCATGTTCTTCCCATAGACTGACAAGTGATCTTGGAAGCTCGTCAGGTGCCAGTTGTCGACTGATGCTTCTAGTCATGTTTTTCACTTTTTTTGTTTCGTGGCGAGAGAATTGAAAGTACCAGAAGGATAACCCGTTGCTGTGATCTTCTGCAATATCTCGAATGACGGTAGAGCTAACTTAATTAGTTGTTGGTCTTTAATCTTGAATATAGTGGTCCCAAAGAATCGATTTTCCACAGCCAGCTATGTTTATTCCGTTAAAAGTACTATCAGGGCTGATAGAAGAGGGCTTACTGGGTCCATGTAACCATAGAAACTTGCCTGGTCTAGCCTTCCATTCTCTATATTCATCTGAACTCAAAATCCAATCACCAGTTTTGTGTGTTCGAATCCTTTGGTGGTCATTCTGAGTATGGGAATACTGTATGTCGGACAGCCCCTTACGAATTTGATCTCGTTCGTCCACTGAAACAATCAGTCTAGATCCTTGGGGAAGATAGGGATGGATTGTACGATTGACTTTGCCCTTGATTGTCTCTGTATTTTGATAGACCTTTTCAATACTGGCGAGTATTCCGTCCCCCTTCTTACATTGATCTTTGAAGCATTAGTAATGGGAAGGACGAGGCCTTGCTGTATAGCTCACAGATAATATTTTTAATTTCGCTCCAGTCGCTGACTTTCTTGTCCTGATCCTTCACGGCAGACTGAAGATGGTTCAATTCTGTGTCGGAAGCTGGAAAGATACTGTTCCCTATGCGATCTACCACATATCAGTATAAGTGACTACCAGGAGAAGTAACTTCGGGCACGTACTCAAAAGGCTTGCTTTCTGTCGTTTTTTCACCTCTGTTGTGTACTCGAGAATTGCTTTGTATACTTGCACAATAGCGTTATCCAGCCCATCAGAGCTTGCTAGTTCCTTGTTGCGACAATGCTTGTCGAGTATAAGGTATCGGGCCAGGATATCAGCAAGGAATTCAGATTATTTGAAAGCAGCTTCTCTTTGATCCATAGAGTTCTTGGCCATCCAATTCAAGGTGAGCTTGATATAGTGGTAATCCAAAACAACCCTTCTTACCGTCAATCCAAGCGAGACGATTGTCCACGCTCTTGAAGCTGGATATTATTTAATAGGCGTCCCGTTAAGACGCATTTAAGATTACTTATCATGATGAGTAGGGTCAAAGGCAGCTATCCCTTTGATAATCTCTGAACAGTGAATGACCGAATCGAGAATCCTTTTGGCTACCTCGCGAACATTGACTTCTTTTCCATTGTACTTCTTGAACTTCAGTCCTCCATTTTGATACGCTTCAAAGCTCTCTTTCGTTCTATTTATGACCTCTTCGATGGCATTTTCCGGAGGCATAGCTTGGTCTTCGCGCAACTTTCCCTTTGAATTCTCATTCAGTTCGTCAAAGGCCCTCTGCCAAATATCTGCATCACCGGGTCTATCGCTTCTATCGATCACGTCGTCATCTGCAGGCGTCATGTCAGACACAGGGCATTTAGGGATCTCAGATTTGTCTTGTTTGTGGTCACTCTTCTGTTCATCCAAGAACCTTGGTTCGTCCTCAGGGTCATCCAATTTTCTGTCCTTCTCTAGACTGCTTCTTTTTGAATGTTGCCTGCTAATGGGAGACACGTCGGCGCCGACCTCATCATGCTCGGACTCTCCCAGGCACTTGGTTTCGTCTTGTTGCTCGGGGTTTTGAGTCTTCGAGTATTTTTGGATTAGTTCGTCATTTACATGCTTCGTGTCATTGACAGGTTGGTCGGCACCCACTTTCTTGGAGTCCTCACGAGAATGGCCGCCTACGGACGCAACCCTATCCTTACCCTTTTGAGACAAATCGGCAGGGCGGAAGTTTTCTTCGGTATCATCGCTTCTTTCTTTACAACCACAGCAAAGCTTTTCGCGCAGCTTATTTAGCATCTTCGATTTGATGCTTAGTAGACTCGAGTTGTGCTAATGGTAGACACGAAGTATGAGAACAGGTTTCAGCCCAGTGCTGGCCTCATGTGACTGATTAACACATCTTGCATAACACTGGTCATGGGTACAGGCAACGCTGTGATTATATTGAACTGTTTACACCTCGCGTTATGATTGATTGAGATGATAATGGAATCGAGCTTGGTTGGCCTGATTGTTAATACAGCGCAGTACGAAGTGAAAGGGAGAATTTAGGTCGAGAGAGTTTATTGGTATAGTACTGGAGTATGGTGGAAACTTCTATACTAGTATTTGTTGACTTTGCAGTGTTACATTTGCTTTTTCCTCTTCAGAGTTACTCCGTATATCACTATCACACTAGTGCAAATTGGTAATGATATACTTTGTAGAGTACGGAGTATATGCCTTCGGGATCCTAAATCATATGTATTACATATCCAGCAGTGCTAGGTTATATGGCTGCCTTGTACGTGGTGGATATTGTCAGTGGCTGTGACGGGACTGTTGTGCACTGCCACGACATCACAATGAGAATGAAAGACGGAGGACTCGACGCCAACCATACGGAGTGCACGGAGCACACGGAGCTCAATTTGGTGGCTTCCTTAATAGTTGCCTCGAGACAAATGAACAGATGATTAAAAAGCATTAGTACCCTCAATGGTGCCCAACTACACCGTAAAGATGGATATAGAGCAGTGACGTATTTTTCCAGTGCAGGCCCACCGTCAAGTTCAGAGTTAATGACAAAGATATTCTTTTTGACAAGCGATTGGGTTCAATAGTGTTCATAATTTAATGCAGCTGCTTCTATTTCTGTGGTCATTAGGACCACTAGACTGGAAATGGTAAGGTCGGTTTCCCATACACCCACGTATGGATGTACGGTAAACGCATGACTTCCTCTGTATTTCCAAATTGATGATGTGCCTTGCATGGAGCGACATCTCGTTCATTCTTCTGTCTCTCTTCGCTCGATATCAAGCTGTGATTGTGTATGAATTTTTGATCATTCTATAGTTGAGACCATTACAAGCCACTTTACCACATCGGCTGTGTTGGCAAAGCCTCCGAGTCTCCATCCGTAAATTTTAGCGTCCGCGCGGCATCGATCGGGTTGCCCCGTTGATTGCCTCCGTCGTCCGTTTTTACAGCCGTCCATAAACAATTGCGTTCCACCACTTTCTAACGCTGGTAACGACCTGGTCACTTTTTTTCGTTTTTTCTTTTTTTTTTTTTATCCAACCACTATATCCCAACTTGCATTCTACGGCCTCCTGTCAGTTTCAAAGAAACTATACAGGCATCATCCCGTCAGCGATCTCTGAGCTGGTTGCCTCGTGAAGGAAGCCCTCTTCTTTGTCAGGCACCACCCTTCGTATCCCCTCACATTCCGCGATCATGAGACTAGCACGACCCTCGATCAATCCTGGGCGGACGAAAAACATCATCCATGGAGTTCAGGGATTCATCATCTTCATAGCATGGGCTTGTACCATTGCCGTGTTCACCAAAGGTGACGGTATTGATGGTCGATCAGCCTGGTACTGGGCTTTGGTATGCTTATCAACTCTGTTCCGCGCGAGCTGACGACACGTCATACTAACGGCATTTCGGTAGTGCTGGTTTAGCATCCCCGGTCTTATCTATCTCGTCGCAGTCCCTATGTGGCCGCGCGCACGCCGTTTCGGAAATGTCTATGCCTTTGCGACGGTCGACTGCCTGTATGCCGTGCTATGGTTTACTGCGTGGGTCTGCGTTGCCAGCTATGTCGCGCAGGGGAAATCTGAGGGCAAGGACAGCAAGCAGGAGGACAAGGACAAGGACAAGGAGAAGAAGACTGGATGCGACAACTGGAAGTACGGCAGTGCCAGCAAATGCAACATCAGCACGGCTACTTGCATCATGGGGGTCGTCATCTTGTACGTCTCAGATTCCGAGGGGAACAAGCTTGGGGTGTTGCTAACCTAAGATGTCTACAGTTTGCTGTTCATTTTGACCGCTTTTATGTCCTTCCGTAACGTGATGCACTTCCGCCGAACTGGAACCCTGCCAGATGCTGTCTCCGACCCTACTTTCGCGGCGCAGAGCCAGGCCGCCTTCTCGTCGAACCCCGCCCATGATTTCGAGGAAGAAGATGATTTCCGATCGGGACGAGCTGGCGGAATGGGCTCTTCCGTCCGTTCCGACCGCGATGAGGACTACGCCCTTCTGCACCAGAGCGAGGTAGATGAGTTCGGAAACCCGAACGGACGCACCGCGATGCACGGCGCCTACGACCCCACGGCTTCCAACACCGGAGGAAGCGTCCTTCATGACTACAACACGGTCAACACCGCCACCAGCTACGGCGGTGCACATGGGCAACACTACGCACCGAACTCGGAATACGCCCCGCCGTCGGAATGGGGCATGGGCTCCAGTGTCAGCGGCTACGGACGCTAATCTCCTCCCCTCGCGAAAACTCTCGACTTTGTACCTCAAATAACCATGGAGCGGTGTTGCGGCGCATACCCGTGCTGTATTGTGTTTTATTCTGGAAGTGTTTTGATACAGATGTTCTGCATATGACTCTTTCCGTGTCCGGGCGATGATTGTATGCTGTGATTGATTAGAATTGAGACCCGGGCAGGTCGCATGTTCACTGATGATTTTGACGACATTCTGCTTTGTTGAAATTCCGAGCCACTTTGAGGGACAGCCTGTTTGATTTATAATTTAGCTAGTATATCACTTGTTATGAACTAGACTATTGTTTCACTCGACGCTACACGGTGCCTGGCTGTAACAACCAATAAGCATCCACCACCCTGTGGACAGATGAGATGGCAAATGCCGGCAGATCCCTCACCGCCTTTTGTATCAACGCTACTGTTCTGGACAACTTGCGTCTGGAGCATAGATGTGAACAATCCATACAGCCCGACCTCGAACTGTATAGGTCCTACAATACAATCCGTTCTACCTTTTAATATATCCCAGACAACAAACCCTCTCAGGTAACCC